TGTGATAGTCTTAAGTGCATTGAGCACCTTTTAGCATCTTGTCACAACTGTCTCCACGTGGTCGTTGAAGGAGAGGCTCCTGTCACATGTGATTCCCAAATACTTCAGTTTGCTCTCTCTGTTGATGTTTCTACCATCTATCATGAGACCTGGGACCTCAGCTCTAACAATCCTATTGTCTAGAGAACACCACAAAAAAGATGCCTTTTCTGAGTGGAGGACAGCACTAATTTCTGTACACCAGTCAGTCACTTCGTGTAATGTTGTCTGTTGCTCCTGGGCTGTTTGTTCCCTCTCACTCCTCTGCCTATAAGCGAGAATATCATCTACAAATGTCAGTATCCTTTCATCCCCTGGGGCTTCTAGGCTTGCAGTCCTGCTTGAATACACATTAAAGAGCACTGGCGAGATGGCAGATCCCTATGGCAGTCTAGAGGCTATAATACTTGGCTCTGAGGTCCATGAGCCCAGAGGGAGAGCGACCTGATGAGAATACAGGACAGCTGCTATCCAATTTAAAAGACATGGACTGACCCCCTTCTCCATCAGTGCGGCCATCAAAATATTATATCTAACTCTGTTATATGCATTCTTGAGATTAGGTGATGCCTCCATCATTTCCTGTTTGTTCTGGAACCCTTCATAAACATCAGAGGCACAAGTGGCTGCATTTGAACAGGTATCTTTTCCTGGCCTGTAGCTTCCCAGACCTCTTGGGAGAAGCTTCCCCATTTCCAGAAATTCTTGCAGCTTGACAGTGACTATCTTCTCCAAGACCTTCCCAAATGTATTTTTTAAGGTGCTTAAATGGTTTGGGAAGTGGGATTAGATAGCTGTGCACCCAACTTTGTGGTACTGATGTTGTCCTAATGCTTTGGTTGGCCATCTCCCTCAGGTCTGCATCACTCAGCGCCTTTATGTGGCCATATCTGACCCATAGGGCTGTGGTGCAGTATCTTGCCTTGTCAAAAAATGTTTAAAACAGAGACAGAACTGACTGTCACCAAAAAATAACAATAAATGATGAAGAAATTGAAAATGTCACAAACTTTGAATATCTAGGCTGTATAATAAAAAGCAATGGAGACTTTGACATGAATCAAAAGGAGTATGACCATAGCAGTGCAAAGATTAAATAGCACTAAAAGTCTATAGTTAAGCACCAGCAAGAAAATCATAGTTAATATTTTGAGAGCATGCATCTTCCCTGTAGCAACATACGGATGTGAATCATGGACTATCTCCCAGTCCTTGAGAAAGAGAATGGGGGCTTTTCAGCTGAAATACTAAAAGATTCTCAGAACACAGACAAAGAAGAAATGAAATACTGACATTTTAAAAGATCTGAACATTAAAGAAGACTGGCTTATAAACAGCATCTTTTCTCAGAATCTGAAAAATTTTGGACAAATCAAGCCCCATGAAAAAATTTGAATTAGAGAAAAATAATAATAGTAGAAGGCATGGTACCAGGAAGAAGGGAAGGGGCTGACCAACATGAAGATGGACACAGGATATAAGTGACTCCTTGAGTATGAAAGTACATGAGGCAGGCGAGCTGGCGAGAGACTGAGTTTCTTTCAGGCAGACTGTGATGAGAGCAATATTCTGCAAAAGACCTGCTACAATGATATAAATATCAACATGAACAAGTAAAATGTACTTCTTGCTACATAATTAAAAATGCATAAAATAATAGTTGTTGTTTGTCGAATGACTAATATGTGCATACATTATGTTTGACTGCATTGTTTAGATGACCAGACCAGAGTTGGTGATAGCAGCCGAGTCTAACATGTCTGTGTCAGATTTGTCTTACTAGTTCAGAAGAGAGAAGAAGGAGAGAAAGAGCAGAAGAGAGACAGGGAGATGGGAGAGAGAGAGGGGAGAGCAAAAGAGAGAGAGTTGAGTTGAGTCAAGAATCAATATCACAGCCTGCAGAGCATTCCCATATGCACTCCATCCCCATCTTCAGCAACCAATGCTAAGTTCCTGTACTAATAGTACCGGTTGTAATCTGGGTATATGTCCATGTGGCCTTTTCTTTGAATGTAGGAAGCCAGCTAGACCCTGTGGTCACACCCAGGTGCCTCATTCTCTCCATGCTGTAATAATCTAGTTTTTCTTCTGACTTTGTTACTTGTTCCCAAAGGACTTTGACCACATCTGTCCTGTCATGTATCAGTTCACCTCAAAGAGATGCAGATCCAGCCAATCTGTTTGTTCATTCCCCACCACACCGGCATCACCGGAGAGAGAGAGAGAGAGAGAGAGAGAGAGAGAGAGAGAGAGAGAGAGAGAGAGAGAGAGAGAGAGAGATAGAGAGAGATGAGATAGATGAGAGCTAGATAGATAGATAGATAGATAGATAGATAGATAGATAGACAGACATAGAATACATACAGACAGACAGACAGACAGACAGACAGACAGACAGACAGACAGACAGACAGATAGATAGACAGACAGACAGACAGATAGATAGACAGACAGACGATAGATAGACAGATACAGACAGACAGAAGATAAGATAGACAGATAGATAGATAAGCAGACAGACAGACAGACAGACAGACAGACAGACAGACAGATAGACAGACAGACAGATAGACAGACAGACAGATAGACAGACAGACCAGACAGACAGACAGACAGAATAGACAGACAGATAGATAGACAGACAGATAGACAGACAGATAGATAGACAGACAGACAGATAAGACAGACAGACAGACAGATAGATAGATAGATAGACAGACAGACAGATAGATAGATATATATATATAGATATATATATAGATATATAGATATATATATATATAGATATATATATATATAAAGAGAACAAAATGATTTGCAAAATTGATGTTGGTGGTAGTGCCGGAATTGTATTTAAAATGCATCATTGTAAATGTGAACATGTCTGAAGGGATCATGTATTCTGATGTTTGACAGTGACCTCAAAAGTGTTTCGCCATGAGCAGAAAGTGGCACAGCTCACCATGCAGGTGGAGACCGCAAAAGTTGAGAAGGAAGAGTTAGAAACAAAGACCTCTCTGTTGGTATGTCCACGTCATTATACTTTTAGCGGAAACACAAAATTAATTCACAAACTCAAACACTTGGATAACCCCCAGGCCAGCATACAAGCATGCTAGCCACTTAGCCTGCCAGTGGTAGAGATACAATCCTTGATTATGTAGTGAGAAAGAAGAAGGGACATCTGTGTGGCCAGCATACAAGCATTCTAGCCACTAAGTCTGCCACTGGTAGAGATACAATCCTTGATTATGTAGTGAGAAAGAAGAAGGGAAGTCCATGTAGCCAGCATACAAGAATTCTAGCCACTTAGCCTGCCACTGGTAGAGATAAAATCCTTGATTATGTAGTGAGAAAGAAGAAGGGACATCTGTGTGGCCAGCATTCAAGCATTCTAGCCACTAAGTCTGCCACTGGTAAAGATAAAAATCCTTGAACATATAGTGAGAAAGAAGAAGGCATGTCCGTGTGGCCAGTTCCTCAACTCTGTATGACATTCCTGCTAGAGAAACTTGCATCCTGATAACAAGTAGGCAGAGTTCTACAGAGCAGGCACCAATTTTGGAAATAGATGGATTAATTAAGGAACTGAGGACATGTGAGAAAAACTTTAACATGATGCTTATGAAAGGCCACTGGTGAGGATTTTATCCATAATATCGACAAGATTTTTACAGAATTTGAAACATAGACTATGATTCCCCAGATAACGTATGAACGGCACTACATGATGATGATGTGTTTCTAAGTGGAGGCAGAAACCACATCTGGTTATTTATTTATTTAAATTTTAGGTTGGAGATAATGCATCATTGAAGCTGAAGGTGGAAGAGTTTGAACACCAGCAGACGGTAGCAGACCAGCCCCTGGCCACTCTGACGGTAATTGTGTGAATAATGAATGCAGTTATAGAACATGTCCATTGGCTGACATTTTTGCTTGTTGGTACCTGCTGTTGTGAATGACCTTCTTTGGTTGTGTTTGTGATGCTTTGGTTCATCATCATCATATGCCATGCCATCTGGCGTAGGCGCTCATGCATCTCCACAGATCACGATCCCTGGTTGGCTTGGAACAGCTTTCTTGATGATATTCCCCCTTGCCATCGTTTTAGCCCATCCAGCATCTTCTCTCTTAGTCTGCCTCTACCCCATTTTCTACTGATCTTTCCAGTTGTCACGATGTTCTCCATTGTCTCTCTTCTCATTTTTTGGCCAAAGAACAGTGTTTGTTGCTTTATTATTGTTGTATATAGAGATCTACTTTCATTAGCTTCTTTCAAGCAATTGTTGTTAGTTGCTCTGGCCGTATACTTCAGTTGCTTGTTGTTTTTTTAGTGCCATTGTTGACCACAGCTGGAGATAATCATGTACACTGGTAGTTTGTTTTGTCTTAGCCAGTATAAGTTTACTGTGGGGTGACACTAGCCAGTGTTCGGTTCATGTTTTAAACAAGCCAATGGTCAGTTCGTATGTTCAACACAAGACAATTTTCAGTTGTATTTTGAATACAAGCCAATGTTTAGTTCATAAATTGAACACAAGCCAATGTTCACAGTTTTAACACAAGCCAGTGTTTAGTTCATAGGTTAAACACAAGCCAGTGTTCATAGGTTGAACACAAGTCACTGTTCACAGGTTGGACACAAGCCAATGTTCACAGTCTGAACACAAGTCAGTGTTCACAGGTTGGACACAAGCCAATGTTCACAGTCTGAACACAAGTCACTGTTCACAGGTTGGACACAAACCAATGTTCACAGGTTGAACACAAGCAAATGTTCACAGGTTGAACACAAGTCAGTTTTCAACACAAGCCAGTTTTCACAGGTTGAACACAAGCCAATGTTCACAGGTTAAACACTAGCCTGTGTTCACAGGTTAAACACAAGCCAATGTTCACATGGTGACAATGGTGATAGCTACAGATACTATATTTACATCTGACCATTGTGTTTACAGAAACAGTTGGATGAGAAGGTTGTATATATCAGACAGTTGGAGCTTCAGCTTGCTGGAAGGTAGGCATCAGCAACACTTCTAGTTCAGATACCTCTAGCTGACATAAATTAGGTCACAAAAGAATGTTTTGTTGAGGTCCACTCACATCCTCTCCACCTTTCCTTCCCAGGAACATTCCTGGTGTCCATGGTATAGTACTGACCTGACCTAAAGAGGCTCACAGGTCAGGAAAACATTAACTACTTTTGGACATAGAACCAGACTACTTCTTGGCTAAATAACTACACTATCACCAAGTCACCAAAAGTTTCACCCTTATTCACCACTAATTCACCACAAGTATACTAATCACCATCAAGTTACCACAGTAACACTAAAAACTATTAAGTCACCCGAAGTACACAGAGCCACACCAAGTATACTGATTACACCATTCAATCACCACAAATACACTAAACACCACTAAGTCACCGCATGTGTGTACACGTGTATGCATATACAGCCACAAGTGCAGATGCTGTTACACACACAGTGTGTTTACACGAACACTTACACACATGTGAAAGCACACATGCCCCCCAGCTAGGTGTTCAGACACTTTCTGCAAGCTTACAGCTGTTATTAATTACCATCATTGTTGGTTTATATAATGTGTTTGTCTTATGTGACTTTGATTATACTGGTGTTTTTGTTGTTGTCGTTTTTATTTGTAACTAGCTGTACCCAGCCACGCGTTGCTGTGGCGTAATTTGAGATAGTCTTATCACATGTTAAAGCTGTTTGTATTTTTATAGGAGACGGAAGTAAAGTTACAACTGTACTTGTAAATAACAAAGTAAGTCGTAAAAAATAGAAAAGCGGAGGTAGCGTTAGTAAAATATAAACAAATTAGGTAATGAGAACTTGAAAATCACGTGTAAAGCTCTTCAAGCTCTTAAATTTAAGTCATTACCCCCCTCCCCTCCCCTCTTCCACCGACTACTGCTCTCTTCCTCTTCGAAATATTTGAAAATCATTACCTGGCGATATTTTTGTTGTTGTTGCTGTAACTGACATTGACATCCCTGTCCATCTGGACTAAAATGAGGAGCAGGAATTGTAATAGGTAGTGAATGGGGCTAGTGTAATATTTACCACATCATCCTTCAAGTACCAGTACAACTACTAAAATAATGTCACTGCTATCTGTGTTACCATCGGAGTAGACAGAGAGTCGTGAGCCAGAAGATTTGGTTCCGCATGGCTAGTGCTGTCGCTACAGACTGGTCAGTTTAGGATGTATAATTTCACTTGCCGACAGAAGACCGCCATAACCTTACCAGCGGTCTTCACATAATTATCAAATGGTTTACCCATTTACTTGTTTTTTTTTTTTTTTTAATATTAAGGCAACATGGCTAGTGATGTCACCACGACAGAGCAGATGAGGATATTATTTTAGTCCGGGGTAAAAAAAATTAACTACTGCGGATTCGAACCCAGGTCTCCCGCTCAGGAACCCAGTGTTCTAACCATTCGACCAAGCAGCCACATAATCGGATGAACGAAAAGAGAACTTAAGTATTAGAGATGTGTGTCCCTACTAATGTGTCCTGATTAAAACTCAATTCAAAACCGCAGGCAATTGTTTTCTTGTAGACAGATACTCCAGATATATTAATGAAACGGCACAACAATAGAAATCGCACGTGTCTAACACGGTTAATGAAGTTAATGATGCAGCAGTCAATGTCTGCGCCGACGTCGAGATAGTCCTTGATTGCTCCCCCCCCCCCCCCCCCCCCCCCCCCCCAATCGAAGGTTGTTTGGAAAAAAAAAACAGAAAATAGAAATCGTGTTTAATATGGTTATTGTGGCAAATATATAGATAGTCTTGTTTGCGGTACCTCGACCTACTCTATGTATTAAGGCGTTGGCTGCACGTAACTCGCCGGCGAATGGCGGAAGCCTTGCGTTCTGACTACCGAGGCGCATGTGCAATTACTAACGTGGCTATAATTAGAAATCACTAAAGTTATAAATATTATGGTATAAATTGTGGTCACCTATCTCTAACAGTGACAGGTTGAATTTCAAACCACGATGGTTCAAAATCCGGTATCAAAACAAACATATCCTGAAAATTTCAGCTAAATCGGTTCAGTAGTTTCCGAGTCTATAGGGGGCAAACAAACACACAAACATTGATTTTTATATATATAGATACAGCTACAGTATAACTTGGTCACAGTTGTGACGCCCAAGGTGTGCTCAAGTACACTAAACATATGCCAGAAGGAAACCTGACTGAGACTGGCTGACTGAATGACTGTCTGACTATCTGACTAGCTGGCTGGCTGGCTGACTAAATGACAGTCTGACTACCTGACTAACTGACTGACTGACTGACTGACTGTCTGACTGACTGTATAACTGACTGAATGACTGACTGAATGACTGTATGACTGACTGTATGACTGACTGTATGACTGACTGGCTGGCTGACTAAATGACAGTCTGACTACCTGATTAACTGACTGACTGACTGAATGACTCTCTGACTGACTGACTGTATGACTGACTGTATGACTGACTGACTGACTGACTGCTGGCTGGCTGGCTGGCTGGCTGACTGATTGAATGACTCACTTGACTTACTGTGTGACTGACTGTATGGCTGACTGACTGGCTGGCTAGCTGACTGACTGAATGACTCACTGATATAATGACTGACTGTCTGACTCAGTGAATGATTGACTGACTAAATTACTCACTGATAGAATTACTGACTGGCTGGCTGATTGACTGTCTGGCTGATTGACTGAATGACACTGATGGAATGACAGGCTGCTACCTGAAGGGTTGACACCCCTGAGGCTTGACTAGCTGTGGAATCTCTAGAGCTGTCACCCCTGGGGCTTGACTATTTGTGGAATCTCTAGAACTGTCACCCCTGGGGCTTGACTATTTGTGGAATCTCTAGAGCTTCTGTGATACTCCATTTGATCCTAAAACAGTGTTTTCGTTCTATGTTTACATGTGTTTATTGATTGCTTGTGTACTTTTACCTATACATTTATTACATGTTTGTTCCTTCACTCATTTAGTGAATCAGGAAAAATCAACAGGTAAATTCTCCTTCCTTCTCTGTCTTTTAACTGCCTCATCCCTTATTCCCTCACATCTGTGGCTAGCAGAGTCCTCCCATAAAGTAAATCTAGTTGAAGACATAAATAGAAAAAGGCAGGGAACTTTTGGGGCAGATTAAGACATAAATAGATAAAGATGGGTAACTGTTTGGGCAGATTAGGACAAAGATAGATAAAGATAGGTAACTGTCTGGGCAGATTAAGACATAAATAGATAAAGATAGGGAACTATTTGGGCAGATTAGGACAAAGATAGATAAAGATAGGTAACTGTCTGGGCAGATAAGAACATAAATAGAAACAGGTAGGGAACTGTTTGGGCAGGTGAAGCCAACTAAATACCAAGGCCATAGTTTTGTGTTGTCAGTTTTGTCTCATTTTCTGAACAGTGCAGTGACTTCAGTAAGTGAAGTAGTATCTAGAATTACTTTTATCTTGTGCAACTGTTAAATTATGAATTATGTTCTTTCTTGGTTATACTTTCCCCTGTTTACATTCTTCCCTGAGTGTACTTTTGCTTGTTATACTTTTCCCTGTTTACATTATTCCCTGATTGTGCTTCCCCTTGTATTACTTTCCCCTGTTTGCATTCTTCACAGAGTATGATTTCCCTTGTTATACTTTCCACACTGGTTACAGTCTTCCTTAACTATATTTCTATTTGTTTTACTTTCCGCTGGTTATATTCTTCTCTGGTTTTACTTCTCGATGATATACTTTTCTGTGCTTACATGCTTTCATGCTCCTTGATATACATGATTTGGTTATATTGTTCTTGTGGTTACACTCCCTATTATAATACTTTCCTATTGTTATACTTTACTCTTGTTATATTCTTTCCTGATTAACTCCCCCCCCCCCCCCCCCCCCCCTTATTGACACAGTTATGTTCCCCACAGTCTGATCAAACCAGACTCTTGAAGTGCACATATTTTATTAATTCTTTGACGATAATTCTATTGCTGAGTTCCTTTCATATCATCTACCCAACTTTCAGAAGTGAAGAGGTTTTGCAGACGTGAGCCTCACTGCTGATCAATCACAAAGTAAATGATGGTGATGGAGACGAAGAAACAGCAGACACTGAGATGGTATGATTTTCTGACATGCAATCTGGTATTTGTCTTAGAGCAGTGAGAGTAGTCTAGAACAAAGACCAGACATAAGCAAAAGTAATAATAATAATAATAATTGCAACAATAACAAGTAAAACAATACAAGTACTGAAAAAAAAACAACAACAGTATCTAGCACTACATGGTTCTGGCGCGATACAATATTCCATAATGACAGTTTTGGTTGTGGATTCTCTTACTTGATATGATAGTTCAGATAATTATTTTGTTTTTGAAATAGTTGCCAATAACCAAGTATACAGCAGTGTACATTCTGTCTGCCAAATGAAGCCTGTAGAGCCACAAGAAAAGTGTATATTGGACACAAAATAATACATTCATGGATTTGTCAAGATCAGTACTGATTGCATGGATTTGTACAATTCAGTAATGATTCCATAGACTTGTCCGGCTTGAGCAGTGATTTGATAGATTTTTCCAGATCATGTTATAATTGGATGGATTTTATTCAGTGACTATGTTCATAGCCCAATGAAACTCTCCATGATTGTTTCTGTCTCCTCCTTCAGATCCCTGTCGGAGATTCTCAGCTAAGAGCTCTGTAGTACAGGTTAGCCTCCTAATTTATGTGTGCCAGAACTCATATTTTAAGTAGCTTTTTTTTTTTAAATGGGTAGATATTTACCCTGGCTTAGACCACTGTTTCTCAACATTTTTACGCTCAGGGACCATGGATTGAAGAACACTGGCTTAGATCACATAGCTGACTGTTGTCTGATTGTCAGCTGATGAACATTTTATAATGATCTGTCATCCAATGATCTGAGGGAGCAGTCAGGCATTTCTCTAGAAAATATTGCATTTGATCCTGGCACTCATTGTCAGAGAAAATGACCTGTAATTTAAACTGGGCAAGTCTGGCTGTAGAAACTCTTTGTCTTAGAGGAAATGACATGTAGCTTCAGCTGGGCAAGTTTTGCTGTAGAAATTCTTTGTCTTAGAGGAAATGACATGTAGCTTCAGCTGGGCGAGCCTTGCTGTAGAAATTCTTTGTCTCAGAGGAAATTACATGTAACTTCAGCTGGGCAAGTCTTGCTGTAGAAATTCTTTGTCTTAGAGGAAATGACATGTAGCTTCAGCTGGGCGAGCCTTGCTGTAGAAATTCTTTGTCTCAGAGGAAATTACATGTAACTTCAGCTGGGCAAGTCTTGCTGTAGAAATTCTTTGTCTTAGAGGAAATGACATGTAGCTTCAGCTGGGCAAGCCTTGCTGTAAAAACTCAAGGGAAGGCATTGAAAAGAAATCACATTAGTTCAGAAACACAGAATTCGACCTAAATAAAACTAAGACGATGAGGAAATTATTTAAGTTTGCCAGATTGTCAAGAATTATGTAGCTTGAATAATGTTGTTTGAAAAAATATTGCAGACGTGTGATTTGTTTTTTAGCTTGACCTGCATGTGAAATCCCGCTTAAACATTTCACCTTTATTAATCACTATTCAGGCAAAGACTTTTTAAAATCAGTGACCAGTGCAGTTCTGGACAGTTAATAACTTGTATGTTTGTTCCCTGGTTATGTCTTCATAAAAGTGATTGCTGGGATTTCAGATTGGGTATATTCTTTTCACTAAAATGTTATGTCTGAAGCAAAATCATAAAGACCATACTTTTATTGTCGTATTGGAAAAATGGTTTGGTCAATAAATAGAGCACTGGAAATTAGTTTATATGACTTTGATAATCCGTGGGTCCCAGACTACAGACTGCATCACCAGTATATTATAGTGCTCTATAGTATTTTATAGTTAATGTAACTAATTTGTTGTCAGCATATTATTCTGGGTCTGGTGTCTCCTGTTTATGCAGTCCCAAGGCTCCGATGGCCTATACTCATGTACAAGTTGAGCAGAAGCATTGTGGAGGCCATGGAGGAAATGGCTGGTAGCTCCACCAAGCCAGACTCATGTGGCTATGTATTGTAAAAAAAAAAAAAAAAAAAAGACTAAGCTGGCTCTGCCACTCAAAACTGCCATTGAAGAATTCAAAGCTAGCAAAGTTAGACTTGCAATGATGTTACCTGAGTGTCCAGATCCGTCAGCTGGCGTAACCTAGCCCATTTTTAAAACAGGGCAGAAATTGAAGATCTACCCAAGAATCACTGAAGATGAAGGAAATCATGGGGACCAGTTGATGTGGTGTTGGTCAAGGGAATGTCCATGATCCAAGATAACTAGGAAAAGCAGGGGTGGGTTGATACAGTATATTGAGGAGGCAGAAGATGAACTGTAAGTTTAAGGCATAGGTTGTGAGACAGCTGGGCCAGGTACTGAGAGAGCCTTGTACTGGCTGTGGAGTAACCATAATGATATGTTGGACAGGTGTCGGGAGGCTGACTTGGACTCCTAGCAGAAAGTAGCTTTTAAGTTTCTCCAAAGACAACCCATGTCAGATCAGCCAGACCATCCAGACTGTCAGTCTGCCTTGTGTCAGCTGACTGGTTGTCTGCCAGGCTCGGCTGGTAAACTAAATGTCATATGTTGTTCGAGTCCCAACTGCCAATAGTAGAAGGCTGCACAGAAAAATCGCCTGCAGAAAGGAGGTGAAGGAAGGCCCCAATCTGACTCACAAGTCCAGCCCTAGAGGAGGCAGCACAAACAACAAGAGTGGTTTAGAAGGTAAGGAGCCATAACAATTGTCAAATGGGGGACTTCTGCTGATGATTGGTAGGCGCCTGTTGTGTGTATTGCCACAGTGGAGCACTTTTTACACACTATATATATATTTATATATATATATATATATATATATATATATATATATATATATATATATATATATATATATATATATATATATATAATTAAAATTTATTGTATTGTTTTATATTACATTATAGTGCTGCATATTTTACTGAACGGTATTGTGTGATATCATATTGTATTATATTAAACTGTATTGTTTTATGTTATATTATTACTGACCTTCTGGTCAGTATGGAAGATAGGTAGGTTTACTGTTTTTAGTTGTGGCAAGTTTTTTGCTTCTGACAGTAGTTGGCTGTTGCATTTGCCTCCGTATGTTGCCCAGCTACTGAGTTGAGTGCATTTAATTTATAATGTTTCTCGTTAGTGTTGTGAACTGTAAATTTAGAAAATTGTGAGCAGCCTGTTGCCACAGAACTCACTGGTGATGCCTTAAGTGGTTAATCCTGTGTGCAACTACTGATCTTCTATTGTTACTGCTGCTTCTATTGACAGTTAACTGAATTTCTAGTGTCAGACTGTTTGTATTAGCTCTTCTGAGGGTTGTCTTATGCATTTAATGCATGTGAATGCTATTGGATATGCTGAGACTGTGCAACAGTTTGTTCACAAAGGACAGTGATGGACATTCTGTGTGGTTCTCATTGGCACAGGAATGGGGTCACCCGTTTGCTATGAAGTTGAAACTGTGACTACCTGATTGCCTGATATATTATAAACCAGGTGAGAGAATCAATTCCATTGCATCAGGATTGATCCCAGAGTTTCTCTCGGCAAGAGAGGGCTAGCCAAGTAGGAATTCTTGCAGTAAAAAAATGAAGTAACATGTTCAGATGAAGGATTACATTTAAAATCATGCAATCACAAGATCATCATTTGACATCAAATGTCTGCTTTCAGCCAACAGACACCTGACATCTTGGTTTTGAGACAGCAGTTGAAAACAGCACAAGCTGTAATAGACAAGATGACAGAAGACAGGAACAGGGAGAAAGAGGATTTGGAGACAGAACTCTCAAGATTCAAAGTCCAACAGAAAATGTATGTGTTTAACAGTGGTGCTTGCGAAAGCAATCAGCATTGATCATCATCATCATCATCATTATTATAATCATCATCAGCATCAGCAGCATTTGTACTATTTTATATTGGTTGAAAATTGTGGGGACCTCAAGGTTGGTTTGCTGACTCGAAACATCGGATACAAGTAGATGAATCTATAGAGTGGTGTTCTGTGTGTGTGTTTGTGAGAGAGAGACAGAGAGAGAATGAGAAAGAGACAGAGAGAGATCAAATGTGTGTGAGAGAGAAGAGAGAAAGAGAGATAAAGTGGAGAGAGAGATTCTTCATGAAGAGAGAGAGCAGAATAAGAAAGAGAGAGAGATCAAATGTGTGAGAGAGAGAAGAGAGAAAGAAAGATAAAGTTTGTGCATTCTTCATGAATTGGGCAGAAGGAATGTCAGAGCTGAGCATTTTGACAGTCTGCTTGAAGAAAATGAATTCACTGAATTTCACAGCTGGCGGGAGAGGCAGTAACAGTGTCCATGTTTATTCCTTGGCAGTTCGGGAACCACTGAGCAAATATGACTGTAGGTTGGTATGTAGTGAGTTAAGAGGCTACTGAATGATGTAAGCAGTGAATGGTGTCACTATGGCAACTGGTTAATTTTAACAGCCAATCGAAGGTTGATTTTGGAATAGCTCTCGTATTATGAGTGAGGTGTTTTCTTCAGGTAAGATACTTCAGTGTTATATTTCATTTCTAAATGTATCTTTTAGGCTGACCATTTGCCTTGTCAGCTGGCATAGGCGATCATGCTTCTCCATAACCTACTATTTTCAGCAGTGATGTTTCAGTTTATATGCTGACACCTCTCTATGCCTTGATGACATGCTGTCAAGAATCATCTCATGTTGACTTTCTCTGTTTCTCTTTCCAAAGATCTTTTCACTGGTTTCCTTCTTCTCATAACATGAGAGTCTTTATAAAATTTTATTTTCCTGAACAAGACAGATTTGATTATTTAGTCACAATCAGGTGAGACATGTTATCCATCTAGTTCAATATTTGTGTCTTGTCACTGAACAAGAAGGTCTGACTATTTAGTCATTGTCACATCACACAAGTATTCCTTCTAGTTCAATATTTGTCACTTGTCATTGAAACATGAGACGTTGTGAGCCTGTCAGAGCTGAATCCTTCTCCATTTGATTTGATATAAACTGAAGTGTTATCTTGATTGCCACCAGACTGCAGTCATCCCTCAGTGAGAAAGAATCTGCTCTACAAGGTATGAGGACCTCAGTGGCCAGCCTGGAGATTGATTTGATGCAAGAGAAGTACAAACGAGAAAAGGTAACTGCAGAAATGGTGACACAGAAAGTTTAAATGTTCAATTGCATTGTGAAATATGTATAAACTATTTCTATGTACACACTGTTTGAATAGGCCAGAAAATCCTGACAGGATTTATCACACAAGAGAGAATCAGCAGTCAAAGAACATTGTTTACCACACACTTACCCTCTGTGTTTCACATTTGTTCACATCTCCAGCAACAGTTGAGTCATTGGATGTTTACTTTCTCCCTATTTTTCACATTTATTCACAGCTCCAACAACAGTTGAGTTAGAGGATGTTTACTTTTTCCCTGTGTTTCACATTTGTTCACATCTCCAGCAACAGTTGAATCAGTGGATCTTTACTTTTTCCCTGTGTTTCACATTTGTTCACATCTCCAGCAACAGTTTAATCAGTGGATGGTTACTTTTTCCCTGTGTTTCACTTTAGTTCACATCTCCAGCAACAGTTGAGTCAGTGGATGTTTACTTTTTCCCTGTGTTTCACATTTGTTTACAGCTGCAGTAACAGTTGAGTCAGCGGATGTTTACTTTCTGCTATGTTTCACATGTTCCAACAACAGTTGACTCAGTGAATGTTTACTTTTTCCCTGTGTTTCACATTTGTTCACATCTCTAGCAACAGTTGAGTCATTGGATGTTTACTTTCTTCCTGTGTTTCACATTTGTTCAAAGCTCCAGCAACAGTTGAGTCAGTGGATGTTTACTTTCTGCTGTTTCACATTTGTTCACATCTCCAGCAACAGTTGATTCAGTGGATGTTTACTTTCTGCTATGTTTCACATGCTCCAGCAACAGTTGAGTCAGTGGATGTTTACCTTTTCCCTGTGTTTCACATTTGTTCACAGCTCCAGCAACAGTTGAGTCATTGGATGTTTACTTTCTGCTATGTTTCACATGCTCCAGCAACAGTTGAGTCAGTGGATGTTTACTTTTTCTCTGTGTTTCACATTTTTTCACAGCTCCAGCAACAGTTGAGTCATTGGATGTTTACTTTCTTCCTGTGTTTCACATATTTGTTTGTAGCTCCAGCAACAGTTGAGTCAGTGGATGTTTACTTTCTCCCTGTGTTTCACATATTTGTTCACAGCTCCAGCAACAGTTGAGCCAGTGGATGTTTACTTTCTCCCTGTGTTTCACATATTTGTTCACAGCTCCAGCAACAGTTGAGTCAGTGGATGTTTACTTTCTCCCTGTGTTTCACATTTTTGTTCACAGCTCCAGCAACAGTTGAGCCAGTGGATGTTTACTTTCTCCCTGTGTTTCACATAATTGTTCACAGCTCCAGCAACAGCTGAGCCAGTGGATGTTTACTTTCTCCCTGTGTTTCACATATTTGTTCACAGCTCCAGCAACAGTTGAGCCAGTGGATGTTTATTTTCTCCCTGTGTTTCACATATTTGTTCACAGCTTCAGCAACAGTTGAGCCAGTGGATGTTTACTTTCTCCCTGTGTTTCACATATTTGTTCACAGCTCCAGCAACAGTTGAGTCAGTGGATGTTTACTTTCTTCCTGTGTGTCACATATTTGTTCACAGCTCCAGCAACAGTTGAGTCAGTGGATGTTTACTTTCTCCCTGTGTTTCACATATTTGTTCACAGCTCCAGCAACAGTTGAGTCAGTGGATGTTTACTTTCTCCCTGTGTGTCACATATTTGTTCACAGCTCCAGCAACAGTTAAGTCAGTGGATGTTTACTTTCTGCTATGTTTCGCATTTTTTCACAGCTCCAACAACAGTTGAGTCACTTAAACCAGTCAGTGGAAGAAAAACAAACCCATTTGAACCAGCTGCAAGAGGAGATAAACCAATACAACACAGAGAAGAAAAATCTACTCAACAGTGTCCAGACAACACAGACAAATCTGCAAGAAGTCCAGGCTGAGTTGGTCACAGTAAGTATGGTCACAGATTTCTGCAAGGAAACTTTATCGTTTGCACCATACATTTTTTTTTTTAAAGTACACAGTGCTTTTGTTTGTGTGAGCTTTGGAGAGGTTGTAGTGTTATGGATTTTGCATAATCTTCCAGTATTACTCTGTGTGTGATGATAGTGTGTGTGATGATAGTGTTAGTGATATTGTGGTTGTAACCTAAGTTCCTTCACTACTCACTGCAGAGGTGTACAATGCCTCTTGCAGCCATTTCAACATATGAGTTAGATCTTTACATTGTCACCTATCTTTCTTGTGTTGTCTAAACATTTACATTCATGATGAAACATTGCATTTATTCTGACTTTGCTGTTTCTGTGCTTTCTAAACAATGACATCGTGTCCCACAAGTGTGAAACAATGCTTTGATTTTTTGTTTTCTTGTATTTTCCCAAACATGGCACTGATTAAACAATTCTTTGGCCATTGCTTCCAGAAACAGGAGAGATTTGACCAGGTTTCCCAGTCTCTAGAGGAGTGTGCACTGAATGTCTCACATTTACAAGCAGCATTGGATGACAAAGATGAAACTTTGAGGCAGACCCAGCAGAGAGAAACAACAGCAGTAGAAACTGTCAAAGATCTCAGAGTGGAACTCCAGAAGGTCAGTTTATGTGCATCAGAGAATAATGATGCTGTGGTTATTATCAACTTTTAATTGTGCAGTTCATAGATGTAAGTGCAGAGTGATCCTTTGTTTGCTGTTTTGCAGCCAGTGTCTGCAGATGTCAGCTGTACTTGTTCTGTAGCTGCTGGGCTGTGCTGGAGACTGGCTTGCACTATAAACTGTAATGAGCTATAAAGTGTGTTGAACTGTAAAAAGTGTTTACTACAACCTTGGGTCTGTAAACAGTTTTAGCTATAAAATGTCTTCTGCTAAAACGGATGTTGTTTTGTAAATAGATGTTCTGTAAAATTGTGCTGCAAAGCATATTGTTCTGTAAAATTGTGCTACAAAGCATGATGTTCTGTAAGATTGTGCTACAAAGCATGATGTTCTGTAAGACTGTGCTACAAAGCATGATGTTCTGTAAGATTGTGCTACAAAGCATATTGTTCTGTAAGATTGTGCTACAAAGCATATTGTTCTGTAAGATTGTGCTACAAAGCATGATGTTCTGTAAGATTGTGCTACAAAGCATGTTGTTCTGTAAGATTGTGCTACAAAGCATGTTGTTCTGTAAGATTGTGCTACAAAGCATGTTGTTCTGTAAGATTGTGCTACAAAGCATGTTGTTCTGTAAGATTGTGCTACAAAGCATGTTGTTCTGTAAGATTGTGCTACAAAGCATGTTGTTCTGTAAGATTGTGCTACAAAGCATGTTATTCTGTAAACTGTTGTTCTGTAAACTGTTGTTCTGTAAACTGTTGTTCTGTAAAATTGTTACTCAAACAACTATCACTCAGACAACTATCACTCGAATAACTGTCAGTGACTCACTCAGACAGCTGCCATCATTCTGACAAGTGTCACCGAATATCATGCAGACAAGTGGGACTAACTCAAACAGCTATGACAAGAAAAAATGTTACTTACTGTCACATAAACAACCATCACTCTATCAGATGCCACTTAAACAACTGTCACTAAAACAACTATCACTAAGACAAATGTCACCGACTGTCACTCAGACAGCTGTCACTCAAACAAGTCATCATTCTATAATAACTTTATCTCTTGCAGGGAAGGACCTCGCTGAGTGATAGGACAAGGGAGCTGGAGGATCTGAGGAGAGTTATGGCCAACAATGAGAGCACATCACAGCTGGCAGTGCTTCAGAAAGAGCAGCAGATCAGTGACCTCACACTGAAAGTAGACAAGGTCAGTTAGAGCTAAGTCAGCTTCAGTTCTCTGATAACTCTACCAAGTGTGGATTAAAACCTAAGACAATTGGATCAGCGGGCAGGCATTTAGCCACTGCTGCTCCTGAAACTGAATATATCCACCTCAGCTATGTATTTTCCTTCTTGATATGCACTCAAAGCCAAAGCCCATCTTGGCGTCTCTTAATTGTCCCTTATGTGTAAAAAAAATCTTGTAGATAAGTTTGCAATTACATTTATTGTTTTTAACTTCATTTTCTTAAAACAGCTTCAGTCTGAGTTGGGAGTCAAGTCCAGTGAGGTGACTGAGCTACAGAACCAGTTATCAGATTCCAGAAGTCTTCTTGAACTTGAGGTAAGACTGACCACCATCATTCTTTACTGTGTTTTTACCGAACAAGTTATTAGGCCATGGCCATTGGTCGCAGTTCAAGCTTCACAGCAAACAGGTCACAGCAAAAATTTTACGCTGATAAGAAACACCCACTGCATCAAGCGCTTTTCAATGAAAAAGGTGACAGGCTGAAGGAACAATTGTGGCAAGGTCGGGCAGAAGATGTTATCAAACAAAAGTGCAGCCTAACCGACATCATCTCCTATGCAAAGTGGATTCCCATGCCTCCTGCATGTGCATTTTCCTGTATTGCCACATTCGTCACGTGTTGCAGGGAGCAGATTCTTATTGCTGTTAATGCAGAGGTCATTAGTGAAAATTCAGATGAGGTAGATGTAGTGATTAATATGGATGGATCCATTATACACCATCAAAGAAGTTAATGTGATGTGATTGTCTGTATATACTTACTGATGAAGATAAAAATAATATGTGATTGTATATACTTACTGATGAAGAAATTAATATGATGTCATTGTCTGTATATACTTACTGATGAAGAAATTAATATGATGTGATTGTATATACTTACTGATGAAGAAATTAATATGATGTCATTGTCTGTATATACTTACTGATGGGAAATTAATGTGATGTCATTGTCTGTATATACTTACTGATGAAGAAATTAATATGATGTGATTGTATATACTTACTGATGAAGAAATTAATATGATGTCATTGTCTGTATATACTTACTGATGAAGAAATTAATGTGATGTGATTGTATATACTTACTGATGAAGAAATTAATGTGATGTGATTGTCTGTATATACTTACTGATGAAGAAATTAATGTGATGTGATTGTCTGTATATACTTACTGATGAAGAAATTAATGTGATGTGATTGTCTGTATATACTTACTGATGAAGAAATTAATGTGATGTGATTGTATATACTTACTGTTGGGAAATTAATATGATAAATTTGTGACATGCTGATGAATCCCTGTGACCTGACTTCTGTTGGCAGAGAAATCGTTGTGGTGACTTGAAAGCTCAGAGGATGGAACAGGATATCAGGATGGAAGAGAAAGACAGAAAGTGTGCGCTGCTGTATGTAGATTTATTCATTCTTTTGTAGAATTTTCCTCAGATTTTGATTTTCTTAGGTTTAACCCTTTCGGGACCACAGGAGAGTTAAATTAGCTACAAGGCACATTTTTTAAGTAAATCCTGTTTTGATCGCAGCGACAGACACCGCTGGAAAACATAAATGTGCATATGCAGTATGTTTGTGTGGTTCATTAGCTATCTGTGTGCTGTTTTTTCACTGTGGAAATCTTGTTTGATGCTGCGTGTGAGTGAATTATAATGAGTGCAAAAATAAATACTCCCGCCATCTGCGGGGTTCGTACTGTGATCCGTTTTTTTGTTTGTTAGCAGAAAACAACATGGCTGTAGAAATTCCCAGGCATCTCATCAAGGTTTAATAGCCTGATGTTATGACTGAAAGTATGGTTAGGAAATGGTGTCAAATGTTTAAAGAAAGGCAAACGAATATCCATGATGAAGATCATAGTGGTCAGCTGAGTGTGGTGACAGACAATTTGGTCGAAGACGTGAGCTCAAAAATTCAAGAAAATCGTTGTTTCACAATTTCTGCGTTGTCTGTCGAATTTTCAGAAGTTTCACGTTCACTGATTTACGACATTATGACAAGAAACCTTGGGTTTAAAAAAAAACCTGTGTGCCATCCAAAACAAAAGATGTGGATTGCTATCCTCTGGAATTGTGCTTTTGCATGATAATGTTCGACCACACATCGCAGATGAGACTGTTCAATTGTTACAGAAAGTTCACTGGGAAATTGTTGACCACACGCCCTACAGCTCCATCTGGTGCTAGGTGATTACCACCTTTTCATGCACCTGAAGAATTGGCTGGCATCCCAGTGGGTTGAAACTGATGATGAACTGCAGACAGGGGCTATTGAATGGTTCAAGACACTGGCGGCAGACTTCTATGACATTGGAATTAAGAACCTGGTTCCACGAAACCAAAAATGTGTTGAAGTCAATGATAACTATTTTGAGAAATAATGTAAATGTGTGATTCATTTTTGGCTGCAATAAATCATTTTTATATATGATTCTTTTTTTTAAATTTGTATACCGGGACTTACTTAAAAAACACACCTCGTACATATCGGTGCACAGTGTGTTCCCTGGTTCCCAAAGAGTTGAAAAATGACAGCCCAGTTTATTTTTTGTGCATTCTGAACCTATTGTCACGAACTGACAATGTAGGCAGGGAAATGTGGAGAAAGTCGTGCTCTGTTCAAAGTGACAAAGTAGGCTGAAAAAAAAAGCATTCTCTGTTCAGAACGACAAGTATTGCTTCAGAGGTCCCTGACTAGTTAATGTCCTTTAGATATTTTCTCCAGTAAGCGCAGGTGTTTGAGAAAATGAAGAGGCAAACAGATTGGCTGGTGCTGCACCACCAGTTAGTGACTTGATGAATGACAAGCTAGATGGGGTCATGACCTTTTGGAAGCTAATGAATGTTGCAGAAGCACAAATAAATCTGTGTGCGAAACAATTGCGCCAAGGAGTCACTGTGGGACCACTTAGAGAAAAGACAAGACTGGCATATATTGAGACTGCTACTGGTACCATCAGAGTTGGAACTGTTCAGCCTCTGCTGAAAATGTGGATGGAGCATGTGTGGGAATGTTCCATGTGCTGTTATGTGGGTTTTTGACTCAGCTCAACTCAGCTATAACAAATATAACAGTAATAATTTGTGAATACATTTTTTCCTTTCCTGTGCTAAGTTCAGAGTTGTTCTGTTTATTTGCCTTTCATCTCACATTCTGCCAGTCTCATTCCAATTCTCCTGAATGGCCTCTTTTAATAGGTATTATAGGTTATACACTCACAAACACTGACACACAACACTCGCGTGCACACACACACACAAACACACACAGTGCTTGCGCACATACACGTACACGCACGCACACACAGACAGGCAGGCAGACAGACAGAAAGAGCATGTTACCCCACAGTGTAGCATTTTAGAATATTTTAATTCTTGTTTTCATTGATGGAAATTAAATGCAATGGATTCATAGAAAGGTGAAGAAATCAGAACTGTCTCGACAACACCAGAATCCACAGTTTTAAGACAAACAAGATGACACTTTACTGGACACATCACAGGAAGAAATGGACAGAGAATTGACAACAGGCACAGAAATGGGAAATGGATTGCATAAATAAGGATGTCCAAGAAAAAGTCTCAGTCACACATTACTGAGAAAGGTCAAAGATGCTAGACTGTATTCTGTCCATGATATTGCACAGGATTGAACAGAACAGAGTACTCACTGGTGCTCTCAGTGATTGTATAACGGCATGACATAATGATGATGGTGTGTTTTTAACTCTTTGAGTGCCAAGTAACGCATGGTGTGTGTGTGTGATGGCCTTATGTCATGTGCCCACAAGAACCCAACCATTGCATTATGTGTTTGTTTATGTCTGGTTACAATAGACCAAAACGTCTGGCCACTTCCACTGCAAAGTTAGTCTTTGTGGAACTAATGCACTCATGGCTTTACCATTCTTATTTCCCATCCCACCTTGAGCATCTCCTGCCAAACCTTCTGGTGATAAAAGCGTTAATAATGTGTTTGTACAAGTAGCATGGAATAAAAGGAAAGTTGAAACATCATGAATGTTTTCCGCAGGGAAGATAAAATCAGCGATCTTGAAAACAGAGTTGTAGTTTTGGCCGAGGAGAAATTGAGACTGGAGAATGAAAGGCAAGACCTAGCAGCCAAGGTATGATTTTTGTTGTCTTTAGTTTCATTTTTTGTTTAGAGAAAGAAATGTGTTGTTTCTTTCTAAGTTTTGAAATTCTGTTTGATAAATTTTATGCGGCCTAAAGATGAGGGAATTTGTTTAACACTTTCATGATCCTTGAGTTTAAGGGTTCAGTTTGTGCGACAAGCAGTTAAAAAAAAATTTAAAACAAACAAATAAATTAAAAAAAAAAAAAATGTCTGACCGCTTTCATACTTTAGTATAATTGTCACATTGTGGAAGAGATTGGGGCCTCATCATGCAATACTGCCATGGGCAGCAGTGAAGCCAACCTTCTCTGCACACAGTTCTGTTGATGAAGTTGATCAAAATGATTACTTGTGGTGGGTTTGTGTTGATTTTGTAGAGTTCCTAACGGTCAGTGGTGGGTATGACAGATTTCTTGAAATAAATAAATTTAACACTCTTTAAAATATATGAAAATCCAGATGAAAACTGAAATGATTACAGAAAATAGGTGCAGACAGCAAGGAATTCTTGGGCCATGTTATGAGGAGAAATAAATGTGAGAAGTTAGGGCAACTGGAAAGCTTGTTGGTGAAAAGCACAAAGGGAAAATATTGAATGTTGAATTAAGAATCAGAATCACAGCACTCGGGGCATTCCCTTAAGTGTCCCAATCTTCAGCAGCAAACACAGAGTACAAATTCTGATGGTAACAGTAACAGTCTGATTTAATTTCAAATTTTTTTCCCCTCACATTTTGTGCATTGGCCACATCCCCTGGTCACTGCCCCCTGAGTGTTGAGTGTCGGACAGATCCCCTGGTCACTGCCCCCTGAGTGTTGAGTGTCGGACAGATCCCCTGGTCACTGCCCCCTGAGTGTTGAGTGTCGGACAGATCTCCTGGTCACTGCCTGAGTGTTGAGTGTTGGACAGATCCCCTGGTCACTGCCCCCTGATTGTTGAGTGTTAGTCAGATCTCCTGGTCACTGCCCCCTGATTGTTGAGTGTCAGACAGATCCCCTGGTCACTGCCCCCTGAGTGTTGAGTGTCGGACAGATCCCCTGGTCACTGCTCCCTGAGTGTTGAGTGTCGGACAGATCTCCTGGTCACTGCCCCCTGATTGTTGAGTGTCAGTCAGATCTCCTGGTCACTGCCCCCTGATTGTTGAGTGTCAGTCAGATCTCCTGGTCACTGCCCCCTGATTGTTGAGTGTCGGACAGATCGCCTGGTCACTGCTCCCTGAGTGTTGAGTGTCGGACAGATCCCCTGGTCACTGCCCCCTGAGTGTTGAGTGTCGGACAGATCCCCTGGTCACTGCTCCCTAAGTGTTGAGTGTCAGACAGATCCCCTGGTCACTGCCCCCTGAGTGTTGAGTGTTGGACAGATCCCCTGGTCACTGCCCCCTGAGTGTTGAGTGTCAATCAGATCTCCTGGTCACTGCCCCCTGAGTGTTGAGTGTCAGTCAGATCCCCTGGTCACTGCCCCCTGAGTGTTGAGTGTTGGACAGATCCCCTGGTCACTGCCCCCTGAGTGTTGAGTGTTGGACAGATCCCCTGGTCACTGCCCCCTGAATGTTGAGTGTTGGACAGATCCCCTGGTCACTGCCCCCTGAGTGTTGAGTGTCAGTCAGATCTCCTGGTCACTGCCCCCTGAGTGTTGAGTGTCAGACAGATCTCCTGGTCACTGCCCCCTGAGTGTTGAGTGTCAGACAGATCTCCTGGTCACTGCCCCCTGAGTGTTGAGTGTTGGACAGATCCCCTGGTCACTGCTCCCTGAGTGTTGAGTGTCGGACAGATCCCCTGGTCACTGCTCCCTGAGTGTTGAGTGTCGGACAGATCCCCTGGTCACTGCCCCCTGAGTGTTGAGTGTTGGACAGATCCCCTGGTCACTGCTCCCTGAGTGTTGAGTGTTGGACAGATCCCCTGGTCACTGCTCCCTGAGTGTTGAGTGTTGGACAGATCCCCTGGTCACTGCTCCCTGAGTCTTGAGTGTCGGACAGATCCCCTGGTCACTGCCCCCTGAGTGTTGAGTGTTGGACAGATCCCCTGGTCACTGCCCCCTGAGTGTTGAGTGTCGGACAGATCCCCTGGTCACTGCTCCCTGAGTGTTGAATGTTGGACAGATCCCCTGGTCACTGCCCCCTGAGTGTTGAATGTTGGACAGATCCCCTGGTCACTGCCCCCTGAGTGTTGAGTGTCAGACAGATCCCCTGGTCACTGCTCCCTGAGTGTTGAGTGTCAGACAGATCCCCTGGTCACTGCCCCCTGAGTGTTGAGTGTCAGACAGATCCCCTGGTCACTGCTCCCTGAGTGTTGAGTGTCGGACAGATCCCCTGGTCACTGCCCCCTGAGTGTTGAGTGTCAGACAAATCCCCTGGTCACTGCTCCCTGAGTGTTGAGTGTCGGACAGATCCCCTGGTCACTGCTCCCTGAGTGTTGAGTGTCGGACAGATCCCCTGGTCACTGCTCCCTGAGTGTTGAGTGTCGGACAGATCCCCTGGTCACTGCTCCCTGAGTGTTGAGTGTCGGACAGATCACCTGGTCACTGCTCCCTGAGTGTTGAGTGTCGGACAGATCCCCTGGTCACTGCTCCCTGAGTGTTGAGTGTCGGACAGATCCCCTGGTCACTGCTCCCTGAGTGTTGAGTGTCGGACAGATCCCCTGGTCACTGCCCCCTGAGTGTTGAGTGTCGGACAGATCTCCTGGTCACTGCTCCCTGAGTGTTGAGTGTCAGTCAGATCTCCTGGTCACTGCCCCCTGAGTGTTGAGTGTTGGACAGATCCCCTGGTCACTGCTCCCTGAGTGTTGAGTGTCAGACAGATCCCCTGGTCACTGCCCCCTGAGTGTTGAGTGTCGGACAGATCCTCTGGTCACTGCCCCCTGAGTGTTGAGTGTTGGACAGATCCCCTGGTCACTGCCCCCTGAGTGTTGAGTGTCGGACAGATCCCCTGGTCACTGCCCCCTGAGTGTAGAGCGTCAGCCAGATCCCCTGGTCACTGCCCCCTGAGTGTTCAGTGTTGGACAGATCCCCTGGTCACTGCTCCCTGAGTGTTGAGTGTCAGACAGATCTCCTGGTCACTGCCCCCTGAGTGTTGAGTGTCAGACAGACTCCCTGGTCACTGCCCCCTGAGTGTTGAGTGTCAGATAGACTCCCTGGTCACTGCCCCCTGAGTGTTGAGTGTCAGACAGATCTCCTGGTCACTGCCCCCTGAGTGTTGAGTGTCAGTCAGATCCCCTGGTCACTGCTCGCAGCACCGTTCTCCTCAGACCTTGATGATCTGTTTGTACCTCCTCATTTTTCACTCGCTCCTAAAGGGCCCTTACAACATCTAGCATGGAATAGAAAGTTATATAGAAAATGAGAAAATAGAGAGGGAGAAAAAAGCGATAAATAACTGGATGGCTTGGTCACATGGTGTAACTGAGACACGAACACAGACCTGCTAGTGCTCAAGCCAGGGAGTCATGTTATTTGATTATCATTGTTATCATAATAAAGGGGTCGATTTCAGTACATCTTGAACACCCAGTGAAATAACAGGACGATCTGAAGCTACGTAGGATGAGGCTAGCTCGCTAGGAAGTAGTGTGACCAGGGCTGATTCCACCAAGCATGTGAGTGATCAGTACATCTTGTCTATGTACACAATAATAGTACATGTATGCATTAATTTGTTCTCACAATACAGATTGATACAGGTGAAGGAGCCAGTGAATTGATTCGTCAGATTCAACAAGAAAATGTGAGTTCATATTTTTTTTTAAACTTGTCGAGTCTCAAGGAGCGCATCATATGTTCATAGATTCCTACCTAGAAGCCCAGTGAATGCTCGATGCGCCAATTTTATGTCTCTCTCTTGAATACCCCTTGGGTCTGTGATGCTAAACTCCCTGGGACTCAAAAGAGTTAAAGAATATCTATGAGTCCTTCTTGTAAATAATGTTTGTGTGTAAATGACACCAAGGGCACCTTTATGATTGATTCTTTTTTATTTTTTTCTGTTTAATTGTTGGAGTTTAAAGATGCAAGGAAGGAATCTACAGAAATATAACTGCAATAATTATTTTCTATGTGCTTGTCAGTACTAGTGACTGCTGATCGTGTCTGTATAACTGCCTAATTAACTGTCCTTTTTGTAAAGAAGCTCTTTTTACAACATTCAAATAACTATTACCAGGGAAATGAACCTTTTCTGTCAGTAATACTTCCTGTCTACTGAACTACGTGTCATCTTTGTGTCTGTAACTGACTGATCAACTTTGTGACTAAAGATCAACTTTGTGACTAAAGATCAACTTTGTGACTAAAGATTACCTTTGTGACTAAAGATCAACTTTGTGATTAAAGATCAACTTTGTGACTAAAGATCAACTCTGAAACACACATGTCCAGTCAAGACTGGATGTTGCAGTTGCATAATGGCTCGGTATTCGGCCGTCAGCCTGAAGTTCTAGTTTTGAGTCTGCATTGGGCGGAGCCAGCCTAAAATGGGTACCGGAGAGTGTCCTGGAAAATGAAGACAGTTGGCTTGATGTTGACCACATCACCCATTGAGTTCTGATTGTCTGTTAAATATAGATCTAGAATTAAATGCCCTATGTGTCTAGTACATGAAAAGGGTCCTTCACCAGCGGAGACTCATAGTTTGAACATGCTTCATTTAACATTTGACAGAGTTCTCTACAAGAAAAGTTATCCTCCCTTGAATCAGCCCACCAAGGTCAAGTCTCAGAACATTTCAATAAAGAGGAAGTGTTTGCTAAGCAGATTCGAGATGTCAGGGGTCAGCTGCAAGAATCGGAGGCTAAAGTATCAAAGCTGGAAACCGATTTAGATGAAAAATCAACCAAACTGAAAATATTGGAACAGAAGATTTTGCAAACAGAATCACAATATAAAAATCAGGTTTGGTTTTAATTTTTTAAATATTTTTTAAAGTTTTGAGTTTAGTTTCTTAACATTTTGCTTATCAGAGTTCCCTAAAGTGTAAATGAGAAAATGTTGGCCCTTGTGGTGTTTCCCAGCATGCTCCGGGACAGTGGTTGGCAAACTCTTTACCCCTTGTAGTGTTTCCCAGCATGGTCTAGGACAGTGGTTGGCAAACTCTTTACCCCTTGTGGTGTTTCCCAGCATGCTCCAGGACAGGGGTTGGCAAACTCTTTACCTCTTGTGGTGTTTCCCAGCATGCTCTAGGACAGTGGTCGGCAAATTCTTTACCCTGTGTGGTGTTTCCCAGCATGCTCCAGGACAGTGTTTGGCAATCTCTTTACCCCTTGTAGTTTCCCAGCATAGTCTAGGACAGTGGTTGGCAAACTCTTTACCCCTTGTGGTGTTTCCCAGCAAGGTCTAGGACAGTGGTTGGCAAACTCTTTCCCAGCATGCTCTAGGACAGTGGTGGGCAAACTTTTTACCCCTTGTGGTGTTTTCCAGCATGCTCCAGGACAGTGATTAGTAAACTCTTTACCTCTTGTGGTGTTTCCCAGCATGGGACAGTGGTCAGCAAACTCTTTAGTCAGAAATTAGCAGCAGGATGATACATTTTTTTAGAGCTGATTTTTTTTCAAGAACTTGCCAAAAAACCATGATAGGGAGGGGATGACGGTTGGGAAATTGGCTTATGTTGACCGTTCTTGTTGCCGTTTCTCCTCCAGTTTCGATGTTGCAAGATTGTGGAAGTCCGGTTTGCAGCCGGAGCTACTAAGTTTAGTGCTCCTGGTGGCACTATGAGCTGTTATTATCGGTTATTGACTGAATTCCAGATTTGTATATAATGGCAATGATGTATTTTTCTTCATTGTGTTCCTGGAACAAGGCGTGTGCGATAGCTTCTTTTTATTTGCTGGCCGTGGCTGCAACTTGGCCGAGGACGCGTGGAAAATGATCAGGAATAGTTTTAATCTACTCATCGCCCAGCTATTCATCGAATGAAGTTGATTTAAAGCGATGACGCCTGGTCTCGCAGTGTGTTTGAGGAGGCATGCACCTTATGGTTTGCCAGATCAAATCATGTGTGCTTTGCTGAGGACACTTTGTATGGCTATGGCATTCACTTGAAGTATCCAGCGTATCTGACTCACTTTGTGACTGAAACCACTGGCATAGGCGGTTGAGCAATTATGAACCAAACTCGTTTGCTGTGATGCCGGAACCGTAACGACTAACTGACTGATTGTTTGTTCGCCAGTTTTTCAGATGGGACAGTAAAGGTCATTTCATTTGATTTTCACTGGCACAGGATCAGAGCAAGTATGGGATTGCAGTGAAGTTGAAACCTCGACTAAGACTAGGACTAAAACTAAAACTAAGACTAAAACTAAGACTAAATCTAAAACTAAGACTAAAACTAAAGCTAAGACTAATTCTAAAACTAAGACTAAAACTAAGACTAAGACTAAAGCTAAGACTAAGACTAAAACTAAGACTAAAACTAAGACTAAAACTAAGACTAAAACTAAGACTAAAATAAGACTAAAACTAAGACTGAAACTAAGACTAAAACTAAGACTAAGCCTAAAACTAAGACTAAAGCTAAGACTAAAACTAAGACTGAAAATAAGACTAAGACTACAGCTAAGACTAAGACTAAAACTAAGACTAAAACTAAGACTAAAACTAAGACTAAGAATAAAACTAAGTGTTAAACTAAGACTAAAACTAAGACTAAGACTAAAACTAAGACTAAAGCTAAGACTAAAACTAAGACTAAAGCTAAGAATAAAACTAAGACTAAAACTAAGACTAAAATAAGATTAAGACATAAGACTAATACTAAGACTAACCGGGAAGGCTGACCCGGTCAACTAATGCCTGCATAAGTCGGATGTGTTGGCCGAAAGGTGCAAATATCGCAGGCATGCTGTAAACGGACACAACACAATTGCATCTTCGGATGAATGCAGAAGAAGAAACTTAGATTAAGATTATGACATGGAAATGTGTGAAAGAGATGATAAAACAGGGGCACAAATATACCTTAAATAAATATATGGAGGTGTACGAGAATATATAAGAACAAACCATTAAGAGGACTTAGGATTTGGCAATAAGATGAACCAAAATTTAAGATAACAAAAAATCAAAGTGATCTAAGATGTAAAATGTACTAAAACGTCAGGGATACTAAGATTTGAGGTGATTTCCAATGTACTAAGGTGTAATGTGGGAGCCACCATGGTGTTGTGGCAGCAGGTTGTGGGTTTAGGATCCACTGGAGCTAGACTTATTTTAAAGATGACATTGGCTCTCAGGTTGACTCCAGCTTAAATGGGTACCAGGTCAAGTCAAAGAAAGTAAAGGAGGTCAACAGGATGTTGACCACATCTTCCACCAACTGCCGATTGGTCTAGCCCTATATGCCTAATGTGTCTGAAAGTGTCTTTGCTTTTACTTCTTTAAGATGTAAAGTGAACTAAGGTATAATATTTACTAAGAAGTGAACTAAGGTATAATATTTACTAAGATGTTTGGTGTGCTAAGATGTAAAGTGGACTAAGGTATAATATTTACTAAGATGTTTGGTGTGCTAAGATGTAAAGTGAACTAAGGTATAATATTTACTAAGATGTTTGGTGTGCTAAGATGTAAAGTGGACTAAGGTATAATATTTACTAAGATGTTTGGTGTGCTAAGATGTAAAGTGAACTAAGGTATAATATTTACTAAGATGTTTGGTGTGCTAAGATGTAAAGTGAGCTAAGGTATAATATTTACTAAGGTGTTTGGTGTGCTAAGATGTAAAGTGAACTAAGGTATAATATTTACTAAGATGTTTGGTGTGCTAAGATGTAAAGTGAACTAAGGTATAATATTTACTAAGATGTTTGGTGTGCTAAGATGTAAAGTGAACTAAGGTATAATATTTACTAAGATGTTTGGTGTGCTAAGATGTAAAGTGAGCTAAGGTATAATATCTACTAAGAAGTGAACTAAGGTATAATATTTACTAAGATGTTTGGTGTGCTAAGATGTAAAGTGAACTAAGGTATAATATTTACTTAGAAGTGAACTAAGATATAATATTTACTAAGATGTTTGGTGTGCTAAGATGTAAAGTGAACTAAGGTATAATATTTACTAAGATGTTTGGTGTGCTAAGATGTAAAGTGAACTAAGGTATAATATTTACTAAGATGTTTGGTGTGCTAAGATGTAAAGTGAGCTAAGGTATAATATTTACTAAGAAGTGAACTAAGGTATAATATTTACTAAGATGTTTGGTGTGCTAAGATGTAAAGTGAACTAAGGTATAATATTTACTAAGATGTTTGGTGTGCTAAGATGTAAAGTGAACTAAGGTATACTATTTACTAAGATGTTTGGTGTGCTAAGATGTAAAGTGAGCTAAGGTATAATATTTACTAAGATGTTTGGTGTGCTAAGATGTAAAGTGAACTAAGGTATAATATCTACTAAGAAGTGAACTAAGGTATAATATTTACTAAGATGTTTGGTGTGCTAAGATGTAAAGTGAACTAAGGTATAATATTTACTAAGATGTTTGGTGTGCTAAGATGTAAAGTGAACTAAGGTATAATATTTACTTAGAAGTGAACTAAGGTATAATATTTACTAAGATGTTTGGTGTGCTAAGATGTAAAGTGAACTAAGGTATAATATTTACTAAAATGTTTGGTGTGCTAAGATGTAAAGTGAGCTAAGGTGTAATATTTACTAAGATGTTTGGTGTGCTAAGATGTAAAGTGAACTAAGGTATAATATTTACTTAGAAGTGAACTAAGGTATAATATTTACTAAAATGTTTGGTGTGCTAAGATGTAAAGTGAACTAAGGTATACTATTTACTAAGATGTTTGGTGTGCTAAGATGTAAAGTGAACTAAGGTATAATATTTACTAAGATGTTTGGTGTGCTAAGATGTAAAGGGAGCTAAGGTATAATATTTACTAAGAAGTGAACTAAGGTATAATATTTACTAAGATGTCTGGTGTGCTAAGATGTAAAGTGAACTAAGGTATAATATTTACTAAGAAGTGAACTAAGGTATAATATTTACTAAGATGTTTGGTGTGCTAAGATGTAAAGTGAACTAAGGTATAATATTTACTAAGAAGTGAACTAAGGTATAATATTTACTAAGATGTTTGGTGTGCTAAGATGTAAAGTGAACTAAGGTATAATATTTACTAAGATGTCTGGTGTGCTAAGATGTAAAGTGAACTAAGGTATAATATTTACTAAGAAGTGAACTAAGGTATAATATTTACTAAGATGTTTGGTGTGCTAAGATGTAAAGTGAACTAAGGTATAATATTTACTAAGAAGTGAACTAACGTATAATATTTACTAAGATGTTTGGTATGCTAAGATGTATGATCTACTCAGATGTAATTAAATCTGTACTGTAATATTTTACATCTAGTTATAAAGCATTTTTTGCCTCGTTCTTTGAACTCTCTCTCTCTCTCTCTCTCTCTCTCTCTCTCTCTCTCTCTCTCTCTCTCTCTCTCTCTCTCTCTCTCTCCCTCTCGTTTTTTTCTCTCTGTATGTGTGTTTGTGTGCATGCATGTGTGCATGCGTTTGACTCTATCATGCTGTAGTGATGCATGCTAGTGTTTTGACTAGCGCATAGAATGTTGGATCTGATTTTAATCTGTTTGCTCACATTCAGACAGAACAGCTCCTGGCGTCTGATACAACCAAGACAAGTCAGATTGTTGCTCTGGAAAACCAAATCAAGGCAGCCAACATGTCCTTGGAGACAGCCAGTTCTGACTTGACTAGCACAAAGTCACAGCTGGATCAGGTCGGGTATTTCTGGGATGTCTTTGCAGTGGTGATATCTTTCCTTGACTCTGCTCATTTCTGTGTTTGTTTCTTCCTTCCTTCCTCCTTCCATAACGTAGCAAGACTGTAGCTCTTGCAATACCAGCCAACTCTCCGTACATTTTTTGGTCATTCCAATGATAAAAATGTGCTTTTCTGGTTGTCCTTCAGATCTAAGTATCTATTGCTTGTAAGCACAACTCTTTTACATTTAAGTATTTTAAATAAATAAACAACTTTCTCAGATCTGCATTTAATGCTTGTAGACACAACTCCCTCAGATCTAAGAATCTATTGCTTGAAAGCACAACTCTTTTACATTTAAGTATTTTAGATAAACGACTTTCTCAGATCTGCATTTAATGCTTGAAGACACAACTCCCTCAGATCTAAGTATCTATTGCTTGTAAGCACAACTCTCTTAGATTTAAGTATTTTAGATAAACAACTTTCTCAGATTTGCATTTAATGCTTTGTAGACACAACTCCCTCAGATCTGAGTATTTACTGTAAGCACAACTCTCAGATCTACATTTAAAGCAGCAAAACTTCCTGTGATAGAAGAAATTAATGTAAAGCCCTCGCCAGCTCAAAATGTGGTGTCTACAATAGCAAAACATCTTGAAACCTACCCAGTTGTGGCACATAACCAATCTGTGTTTTTTTTTGCTGTGGTTGGACATTCTCATCTTGGCATTCTCATCTTGATGTTTCCATTGGCAGTTAAAATCTTATTGGATACATAGACCATAAATGTCAGCAACAGCTAACAACTCGGCAACAAACTGATTCAGACAGGTGTGGAACTACATAGACAGTAAATGTCAGCAACAGCTAACAACTCGACAACAAACTAACTCAGACAGCTATGGAACTACATAGACCGTAAATGTCAGCAACAGCTAACAACTCGACAACAAACTGACTCGAACAGCTATGGAACTACGTAGACAGTAAATGTCAGCAACAGCTAACAACTCGACAACAAACTGACTCAGACAGCTATGGAACTACATAGACCGTAAATGTCAGCAACAGCTAACAACTCGACAACAGACTGACTCTGACAGCTATGGAACTACATAGACTGTAAATGTCAGCAACAGCTAACAACTCGGTAACAAACTGATTCAGACAGGTGTGGAACTACATAGACAGTAAATGTCAGCAACAGCTAACAACTCGACAACAAACTGACTCTGACAGCTATGGAACTACATAGACCGTAAATGTCAGCAACAGCTAACAACTCGGCAACAGACTGACAGCTATGGAACTACACGAGATAGTTAAGCTGAGAGCTTAGGATTGCCTGGGAGTGTGTCATCAAAAGATAACATATACAAGCAACAAATACTAGCAGTTGAAGAATGCATAAGACAGAGCTATTCATCTGGCAGTCTGTGTGCCAAATCCACACTCCTGGGCCTAGCAAATGGCCCACGGATCATTACCAGTATATATATAGATATATTTCACTGCATTGAGAGCTTTTGCCCTGGGAACTGACAGCAAAATACTAAGATGTTGACAGAAATCTTCTGATACTGGGGTACATAACTCGGTATTTCTAAACAAGTCTTGTAAATGCTGTGCTACTAATTCTACATGTGCCCCAGTAAAGCATAGCCTCTCAACCAACAGACAGAAGCTTTCCTATCATTTGCCATCTCTTGCAGGTATTCAGTGTTCTCCCAGTCTTATTCCCCTGCATCTCTAATTCTCTTCTCCCAGTGTTGATTTGCTCTTCCTTTATTCCTAGGCTTGGTGGGTTCCATTGACAGGACATCCATGTTATATATTATTGTCAGATTTTCATTATTTGACCTATTCAGCGCCAGTATTTTTTCCTCACCTCTTGATTCATATTTGTGATCTGTTCTTCTTCTTCTTCTTCTTCTTCACTTCCTCTTTTACCGCTGTGGGTGTCGAGGGAGATATAAGGTTCTGTTTCTAGCTCTTCTGGCTGCTTTGACCATAGGCACATCGTGCTGTTGTAGAGTTTCTCTGATGTTATCCTTCCATCTTGTTCTTGGTCTACCCCGTGCTCTACGTCCTTTTTCTCTTTCCATGTATGCTTTGTATGGTATGGTGTCACAAGGCACTCTCTCTAAGTGGGCAAACCATTTCACTTGCTGTCTTTGTATGTAATCCAGAATTGGTTCTGTGCCGACTTGTTCTCTTATGATCTCATTCCTGATCTTATCTCTTATGGTCACTCCTACAGCCCTTCTCAGACATCTCATTTCCCTGGTTACTAATTTTCTTTTAGGGTTTGTTGTGAGTGACCATGTCTGGCACTGGTAGCACAGAGTTGGAATAAATATGCTTTGAATAAGATGTCTCTTTGTGCTGATTGGGATTGTCTTATGCTGTAAGAGGGGGGCTAGCTGTCCCAATACTTGGTTTGCTTTACTGCATCTAATGTCAATTTCTTTATCCAATTTCCCATCTTCGGTAAATGTAGTTCCCAGATATTTAAACTTAGATGCCTGTTTAATGTCTTTGTATTCTATTGCTATGTTTAGATCTGTCTTCTTTTTTCCTATTGACATTACTTCTGTCTTTTCAGTGTTGATTCTCATATTATTTGTTTTACATTCTTCATTCATGGATGTTAGATGTTGTTGCAATTTCATGGCTGTATCTGCTATCAAGGCCTGGTCATCTGCAAAGAGTAATTCGTTGATCTTACTAAGATCTTCATTCATGGGCTTGGCATTCTTGCATATACTGTCGATGTAGGTGATAAACAGCAGTGGTGATAAGACACACCCCTGTCTTACTCCAGATGTCACTGTGAAAGGATGAGATGTTCCTTGATTTATTCCAACTACACTTCTACAATCCCGGTATAAACTTTTGCACACTTCGATGAGGTGTGTCGCTTACTCCATATCTTGCCATTATTTTCCATAGTAATTGTCTGTTGACTCTGTCAAATGCCTTCTCCTGGTCTACGAATGCCACAAATAAGTTCTTATTGTATTCAATGTTCTTTTCTATTAACTGTTTAAGTGTGAAGATTGCAGTGTGATCTGTCATTCCATTTAATTCCTTCTGTTCCTTTCACACAATAAATAGTGAATGTTTGTAGTTTATGTGTAATTATTGTATGGTTTGATGTGCTTTGCTACACTGTATGTTGAGTCTGTAGTAATGCACATCACTAGACACAGTGAACTACATCAGGTGGTTGTGCAGTTTATTGTTGGTGTCTGCATTTTTTGTTATTTATTTCTGAAGGCTACCACTTTTATTCTGAGAAATTGAAATATGAAGTTTGCCTAATCTCTTGTGAAATGAAACTTTGATTTAGGCTAACACAGATATGGCAGCAAGCCGAGAACAGATTGAGCAGCTCCTGTTGGAGGTCAGTGAGCAGAAGGAGAAGCTGTCAGCAGCCAATCAAAAGATAAGCTCCCTGGATCTGCAACTGAAGGAGAAGGTCAAGGGCATTATATTCACACTAAGTTATCTTCCCTTCTAATAAATCTCATTTTCTTTTTCTTGTAATTAGTGGCGTCCATGGCTAAGGCGTTGCGAGTCCGACTAGTAAGCCAGCATACTGCGATCGAAACCCACTGCAGGCTGCGTGGATTTTTGTCATGGTATGGGACGTCGCAGGTCGATCCAGCCTAAAATGGGTACCAGGATGGGTTTAACCTCACATTTGTAGTCAGTCATGTTTAGTGTGTAGTCAGTCATGTTTAGTGTGTAATCAGTCATGTTGAGTGTGGTCAGTCATGTTGAGTGTGTAGTCAGTCATGTTGAGTGTGTAGTCAGTCATGTTGAGTGTGTAATCAGTCATGTTGAGTGTGTAGTAGTTTTTGTTGAGTGTGTAGTAGTTCATGTTAAGTGTGTAGTAGTTCATGTTGAGTGTATAGTCAGTCATGTTGAGTGTGTAGTCAGTCATGTTGAGTGGGTAGTCAGTCATTTTGAGTGTGTGGTCAGTCATGTTGAGTATGTAGTCAGTCATGTTGAGTGTGTAGTCAGTCACGTTGAGTGTGTAGTCAGTCATGTTGAGTGGGTATTCAGTCATGTTAAGTGTGTAGTCAGTCATGTTGAGTGGGTAGTCAGTCATGTTGAGTGGGTAGTCAGTCATGTTGAGTGTGTGGTCGGTCATGTTGAGTATTTAGTCAGTCATGTTGAGTGTGTAGTCAGTCATGTTGAGTGGGTAGTCAGTCATGTTGAGTGTGTAGTCAGTCATGTTGAGTGTGTAGTCAGTCATGTTGAGTGGGTAGTCAGTCATGTTGAGTGGGTAGTCAGTCATGTTGAGTGGGTAGTCAGTCATGTTGAGTGGGTAGTCAGTCATGTTAAAGTGTGTGTTCAGTCATGTTGAGTGTGTAGTCAGTCATGTTGAGTGTTTAGTCAGCCATGTTGAGTGGGTAGTCAGTCATGTTAAGTGGGTAGTCAGTCATGTTGAGTGTGTAGTCAGTCATGTTGAGTGTGTAATCAGTCATGTTGAGTGTAGTCAGTCATGTTGAGTGTGTAGTCAGTCATGTGAAATGTGTGGTCAGTCATGTTGAGTGGGTAGTCAGTCATGTTAAAGTGTGTGTTCAGTCATGTTGAGTGTGTAGTCAGTCATGTTGAGTGTTTAGTCAGCCATGTTGAGTGGGTAGTCAGTCATGTTAAGTGGGTAGTCAGTCATGTTGAGTGTGTAGTCAGTCATGTTGAGTGTGTAATCAGTCATGTGAAATGTGTGGTCAGTCATGTTGAGTGTGTAGTCAGTCATATTGAGTGTGTAATCAGCCTAGTGCTGTGTGACCATCACAAGATCCGTGTATTCAGACATGTAATATCCGTCTGGATGGACACTGTCCACAGGTCTCACAACTGGCTCAGGCTGAGCTGCAGAAGAAAGACATGGAGCTGACCCTGGAGGCAAACAAGCAGATTCTCATTGAGTCCAAGGGCAAACTCATCGAAGCTGAGCTCAGTCTCCAAGTGGTGAGTGTTGATTGTCACAATTGTAGTCAGTGCTTAAATGACAACACTCAGAACCAACAAACAGGTGATCAGTCTCCTTCTACTTATAGTCATAGACATTTAGAAACTGAGCCTCACTCACATAGATGCAAACAGTAATACAGACATTAATTGATGGAGAACATACAAGACATAAATCATTTAACAATGTGTCTGTAGTAAAAAAGTCTGTTATCATTTTGATGTTTTATTGGTAACTATAAAAGATTTGCCAGATTTGTGATTTTAGACAAATTCTCATTTTTTTTTTTTTAAATTTTCAAAAATTAAAGTCTAATTTTTTGTAGGAGAGAAAGTCAAAGGTCACTGAGATGGATGACCTTGCTACAAGTCTGGAAATGCTAAGTCGTGAGAGAACCAGTCTGCAGCAGAAATTCGACCAAGTGGTACGACATCTACTGTTGTTCCTCCTGAGCATTGCTGTTCATCTCTACTGTGGTTACCATCTTCTCCTGTTTGTCACTGTCCATGTTTGCTGCCATTGCTCTAGTTGTCTGTGGTGTATTTCACTGTCCATATTTGCTGTCATTGCTCTAGTTGTCTGTGATGCTTGTCACTCTCCATGTTTGCTGGTATTGCTCTTGTTGTCTGTGATGTTTGTCACTGTCCATGTTTGCTGGCATTGCTCTTGTTGTCTGTGATGTTTGTCACTGACCATGTTTGCTGTCATTGCTCTAGTTGTCTGTGATGCTTATCACTCTCCATGTTTGCTGTCTTTTCTCTTGTTGTCTGTGATGTTTGTCACTGACCATGTTTGCTGGCATTGCTCTTGTTGTCTGTGATGTTTGTCACTGTCCATGTTTGCTGGCATTGCTCTTGTTGTCTGTGATGTTTGTCACTGACCATGTTTGCTGCCATTGCTCTTGTTGTCTGTGATGTTTGTCACTCTCCATGTTTGCTGTCATTGCTCTTGTTGTCTGTAATGTTTGTCACTGTCCATGTTTGCTGGCATTGCTCTAGTTGTCTGTGATGTTTGTCACTGTCCATGTTTGCTGCCATTGCTCTAGTTGTCTGTAATGTTTGTCACTGTCCATGTTTGCTGCCATTGCTCTAGTTGTCTGTGATGTTTGTTTACTGACTATGTTTGCTGGCATTGCTCTTGTTGTCTGTGATGTTTGTCACTGACCATGTTTGCTGTCATTGCTCTAGTTGTCTGTGATGCTTGTCACTCTCCATGTTTGCTGGCATTGCTCTTGTTGTCTGTGATGTTTGTCACTGACCATGTTTGCTGGCATTGCTCTTGTTGTCTGTGATGTTTGTCACTGTCCATGTTTGCTGGCATTGCTCTTGTTGTCTGTGATGTTTGTCACTGACCATGTTTGCTGCCATTGCTCTTGTTGTCTGTGATGTTTGTCACTCTCCATGTTTGCTGTCATTGCTCTTGTTGTCTGTAATGTTTGTCACTGTCCATGTTTGCTGGCATTGCTCTAGTTGTCTGTGATGTTTGTCACTGTCCATGTTTGCTGCCATTGCTCTAGTTGTCTGTAATGTTTGTCACTGTCCATGTTTGCTGCCATTGCTCTAGTTGTCTGTAATGTTTGTCACTGTCCATGTTTGCTGCCATTGCTCTAGTTGTCTGTAATGTTTGTCACTGTCCATGTTTGCTGCCATTGCTCTAGTTGTCTGTGATGTTTGTCACTGTCCATGTTTGCTGCCATTGCTCTAGTTGTCTGTGATGTTTGTCACTGTCCATGTTTGCTACTATTGCTCTAGTTGTCCGTGATGTTTGTCACTGTCCATGTTTGCTACTATTGCTCTAGTTGTCTGTGATGTTTGTCACTGTCCATGTTTGCTGCCATTGCTCTAGTTGTCTGTAATGTTTGTCACTGTCCATGTTTGCTGCCATTGCTCTAGTTGTCTGTGATGTTTGTCACTGTCCATGTTTGCTACTATTGCTCTAGTTGTCTGTGATGTTTGTCACTGTCCATGTTTGCTGGCATTGCTCTAGTTGTCTGTGATGTTTGTCACTGTCCATGTTTGCTGGCATTGCTCTAGTTGTCTGTGATGTTTGTCACTGTCCATGTTTGCTGGCATTGCTCTAGTTGTCTGTGATGTTTGTCACTGTCCATGTTTGCTGGCATTGCTCTAGTTGTCTGTGATGTTTGTCACTGTCCATGTTTGCTGCCATTGCTCTAGTTGTCTGTGATGTTTGTCACTGTCCATGTTTGCTACTATTGCTCTAGTTGTCTGTGATGTTTGTCACTGTCCATGTTTGCTACTATTGCTCTAGTTGTCTGTGATGTTTGTCACTGTCCATGTTTGCTACTATTGCTCTAGTTGTCTGTGATGTTTGTCACTGTCCATGTTTGCTACTATTGCTCTAGTTGTCTGTGATGTTTGTCACTGTCCATGTTTGCTACTATTGCTCTAGTTGTCTGTGATGTTTGTCACTGTCCATGTTTGCTGCCATTGCTCTAGTTGTCTGTAATGTTTGTCACTCTCCATGTTTGCTGCCATTGCTCTAGTTGTCCGTGATGTTTGTCACTGTCCATGTTTGCTGCCATTGCTCTAGTTGTCTGTGATGTTTGTCACTCTCCATGTTTGTTGGCATTGCTCTAGTTGTCCGTGATGTTTGTCACTGACCATGTTTGCTGCCATTGCTCTAGTTGTCGGTGATGTTTGTCACTGACTATGTTTGCTGGCATTGCTCTAGTTGTTTGTGATGTTTGTCACTGACTATGTTTGCTGCCATTGCTCTAGTTGTCTGTGATGTTTGTCACTGACTATGTTTGCTGGCATTGCTCTAGTTGTCTGTGATGTTTGTCACTGACCATGTTTGCTGCCATTGCTCTAGTTGTCCGTGATGTTTGTCACTGACCATGTTTGCTGGCATTGCTCTAGTTGTCTGTGATGTTTGTCACTGTCCATGATTGCTGCCAATGCTCTAGTTGTCTGTCCGTGTTTGCTGCAGCCAACTGTTCTTAACCTTTAGGGTGTCACAACATCAGCCACCTTTTCTTAACCTTCAGTGTGTTACCACAACAGCCACCTTTTCTTAACCTTTAGTGTGTCACCACATTATCCACCTTTTCTTAACCTTTAGTGTGTCACCACTTCAGCCACCTTTTCTTAACCTTCAGTGTGTCACCACATTAGCCACCTTTTCTTTACCTTCAGTGTGTCACCACATCAGCCACCTTTTCTTAACCTTCAGTGTGTCACCACATCTGCCACCCTTTCTTAACCTTCAGTGTGTCACCACATTTTCCACCTGTTCTTAACCTTCAGTGTGTCACCACATCAGCCACCTGTTCTTAACCTTCAGTGTGTCACCATATCAGTCACCTTTTCTTAACCTTCAGTGTGTCACCACATCTGCCAACTTTTCTTAACCTTCAGTCTGTCACCACATCAGCCAACTTTTCTTAACCTTTAGTGTATCACCACATCAGCCACCTGTTCTTAACCAAGACATTTCTTAGTCCACCTATTGTGGGAATTTACACCCATGACCTTTGGCTTGGCAGGCCAGCAAAAAGCTTCTGTATTAGCATGGTTCCAGTAATGGTATTACATGACTACTGTTTTATAGCATTCCTGGATTGAGAGATTTGTGGAAAGAGAGATTTGTTGAAAGAGAGGTTTGTGGAATAAGGGATTTGTTAAAAGAGAGAGTTGTGGAATAAGGGATTTGGGGAAATAGATATATAGGAAAATGCAAGAAGATTCTTGAACACTTTTTGTCACGGAAGAAGGGTGTCAGCACACAAGAGAAACATGATTGCCCATGCCATCTAAAGGTACTTGATGATTGTAGATGATCACAACAATTGTTTAAACTGATTTCATAATACATTAACATGGCAAAAATACATAAGGAATAAACAAGCTAAAATATTCATGCAGAGTACCAGTCTGACAGATGTGCAGAGACAATATTCCGAGAAGTGCCAGGAACTGGATGCTGTGTTACAGACTTTAATATCTACACAAGCGGAGCTCAAGAAGGTTGAGGACATGCTTTCAATGGTAAATTCTTGATCTGCCTTATTCAATTGATTGATTGATTGATTGATTAACAATGAAAGCACTAGGAGCACTGTCACACCAGTGTTTGCTTTCTCTCTCAGCAGGTGAGTTGAGTTATCTTCACAACACTGCGGGCACATCTGTTAGGTGCTGAGATTCTCCTTTCAGCATATACATCAGCATCCCACAGTTGATAGTGCCAGTCCCATACCGGTTAACAAGACTTTAGAAAACTTCTAGTTTGTCTCTCATGCCTTGCTGTGCAAGTCCTTACTCCCAATTCTCATATTCTTAGCAGTGATGTGAACACGCTGCTCCAAAAATCCTTGGATCATCCTATCTCTCTGAGGGCATTAATAGTATCAGCACAGTCCATAGGCTGGCAATCTGCAACTAAGGCAGAACTGGCTTAACTGTCAGCTTTTTAATTGTCACTGTCGATGCATTGCATTGGTTTTGATAATGGTATTGAGAGCCGACAGTTCAGGGATGCAATGGCAAACTACTTAACGTAAAAATGTTCCCAGAAAAACCATAAAAGCCATAATTGCTGCTTGTTTTGAGCTGGCATATCCATAACTGAATGTTCTACCTATCACATGATGGTCTATGCTACTAGTTCCATCCTTTTTAGTGTTGAACTGGCATCTCCACAATTGAATATTCTTCCTAACATGCGAGGATCTATTATACTGGTTCCTCTCCTTTTAGTGATGAGCTGGCATCTCCACAACTAAATGTTCTTCCTTAGAGGGTCAATGCTACTAGTCCATCCTCTTCCAAACCCCAAAGACTGAATGTTCTCATCTGAGAAGGTCCATATGACTAGTCCCTCTTCCCCTGAGTCTCAGCAACTGAAGATTGCTAAAGTAGTTTCTTATCCACTATTTATATCATATTTAGGAATGCAAAAAATGTTGTCTTCTACTCACTAACTGCTTCTGGAAAGTTCTAGTGTGGTCTGACTTGTTTATTAACTGTGTTCTCACCATGAATTTTCCCACATGCTTCTGGATTGCATTAGATAGATAACTCAACACTTCAACACACTAATTAAGTTAACAACTGGCTTTCTAGGATCTTCTAGAAAGCGAGTTCTACTGTGATCTCATATATAGAGCATGCCAACAGAATTACACTAAATAAATATTATTTATATAGCTAAGTTATTCATTTACATAATTTCCCTCTGTTGATTAACAAGTGATGGTTCTAGAACACAAGGCCACAAATGTCAGGTTCATATATCTTGTATTTCTGTACATAGTTGGAATACAGACATCATCACAGTGAAATAATTATCTGTGCTCAGAGTAGAGATAGTTGTCATTGATTCTGGTTTTCTGTTTGCAGACTAAGGAAACTTCAAATGATCAGTTGATGTATTTGACTACAGAGTTTGAGAAAGAAAAAAACAAAGTCAAGGAAAACAGGGAAACACTTATGAAACAAGTGAGTATTTGACTACATTTGTTCCACTTTTTGATTGTTTTCTGCAAAGTTTAAACTTTGTGGTTCTCTATGGTTCATTTTGACATTTGTCTACATATTTTAAAACAATTTGTGAGGAATTTTTCTTCATGGTTTAGTTTCTGTGGTATTTTTCTGCATGGTTCATTTTGTGTAGTATGTTTCTTCATGGTTCAGTTTGTAATGTATTTTTCTTCATGGTTCAGTTTGGATTTTATTTTTTGTTGTGGTTAAGTTTGTATGGTATTTTCTTCATGGTTCAGTTTATGAAGTATTTCTCTTTATATTTTAGTTCATATGGTATTTTTCTTCATGAATTTTTCTTAATCGTTTAGTTGTATGGTATGTTTCTTCATGGTTCAGTTTGTAATTAATTTTTCTTCATGGTTCAGTTTGTATAGTATTTCCTTCATAGTTCAGTTTGTATTGTATTTTTTGTCATGGTTAAGTTTGTATGGTATTTTCTTCATGGTTCAGTTTATGAAGTATTTCTCTTTATATTTTAGTTCATATGGTATTTTTCTATTTGTTTTAATTTGCATGGCATTTTTCTTCTTGGTTCAGCTTGTGAGGTATTTTTCTTCATATTTTAGTCCATATGGTATTTTTTTCTTTGGTTAAATTTGTTTGGTGTTTTTCTTCATAGTTCAGTTTGAATGGTATTTTTCTTCATAGTTCAGTTTGTGAGGTGTTTTTCTTCATGGTTCAGTTTTTAAGGTATTTTTCTTTATGGTTCAGTTTGTGAAGTATTTTTCTTCATGGTTCAGTTTGTGAGGTATTTTTCTTCATGGTTCAGTTTTTGTGATTTTTTTCTTCATGGTTCAATTTTTGTGATGTTTTTCTATATGGTTTAGTTTGTGAGGTATTTTTCTTCATGGTTTAGTTTTTGTGATGTTTTTCTATATGGTTCAGTTTGTGAGGTATTTTTCTTCATGGTTTAGTTTGTGAAGTATTTTTCTTCATGGTTCATTTTGTATGGCATTTTTTTTTTTTTTCATGGTTCAGTTTTGTATGGTATTTTCCTTTATGGTTCAGTTTGTATGGTATTTTTCTTCATGGTTTAGTTTGTGAGGTATTTTTCTTCACGGTTTAGTTTGTAAGGCATTTTCCTTAATGTTTCAGTTTTGTATGGTATTTTTCTATTAAGCTGGGAAAAGCAGCAGGTCATGATGGTATAACACTAGAGATGGTCAAATATAAGGGAGTCCCAGGTGAGTACCTTCTACTGAAGGTTCTCCAGGCAGCCTGGTGTAGCAAAACTATACCAGATGATTGGGAGATTGCCATCATTATACCTATATTTAAAAAAGGTGATAAAAATGTGAAAACCACAGAGGCATATCCCTCCTCAGCATTCCTGGTAAAAGTTACTCTAGAATTCTCGAGCAGAGACTTAGATGTCTGGTAGTGCCACAGCTGGACGAGGCCCAATGCGGCTTCAGAGCAAACCGAAGTACTCAAGACCTTATCTTCACACTGAGACAGATGAGCGAAAAAGCTCTTGAATATAAGAGTGAAATGCACCTATGTTTTTTGGATCTGGAACAGGCATTTGACAAAGTACCCTGGAACAAGCTCTGAGACTGCTTGGCAGGAAAAAACATCCCAGCACCCCTGATCAGTGCAATACAGAGTTTCTACAAAAGCTGCAGAAATTATGTTAGAACAGCAGACCAAAAGTCAGAAGAATTTAAGACCACCAGCGGTGTTAGACAAGGTGATATTCTCTCACCTTACCTCTTCATTCTTATGATGGACGATATCATCAAGACCTGTAAGTACTCTGTAGGGTACTGGAAGATGAGACTGAGATGACAGTATCTCCAAAACTAAAACCATGGTGATCTCAAGAGAGGAGAAGAAACACCAGATCATGATGGGACAGTATGCATTGGAGCAGGTTAACCAGTTCAAATACCTTGGAGTTGTATTAGACTGAAATGGAGGCATTAAGACTGAGCTGGTTACATGAAAAGCAGCTGCTGGGAGACTCTTCAGGTCATAAACCGAGGGTTTCTTAGCAAAAGAGAAATTGGCAAGAGGACGAAAATGGCTGTTTACCGCTCTACCTATGTACCAGTCCTGACCTATGGGTGGGAGTCATGGGCAATGACAACAGCTCACAGAAGTCAGCTGCAGGCCTCAGAAATGAGATATCTGAGAAAAGTGGTCCAAGTGACAAGAAAGGAAAAAGTCCGCAATCTGACAATCTGTCAAGATCTTGATACCCAGTCCTTACAAACCCGAGTGGATCAGTCACAGTTACGATGGTTTGGACATGTATGCAGAATGGGAGAAAATTGGCCACCATGGCAGGCATGGGAGGCTAAGAACCAGGGAACCAGACCTACAGGACGACCAAGGGTGCACTGGGAAGACAACATCCGACAGTCCCTTACTGACAGAGGACTGGAATGGAACAAAGCCAGAAAGAAAACTGCCGATAAAAATGTCTAGCGATCTCTCTGGTAAACTCTACACCCTAAGGTAGAAGAGGAGTGACTAAGTAATTTTTCTTCATGGTTCAGTTTCTGAGATATTTTTCTCTATTGCTCAGTTTGTGAGGTATTTTCCTTAATGGTTCAGTTTTGTATGGTATTTTTACTTCATGGTTCAGTTTCTGAGGTATTTTTCTCTATTGTTCAGTTTGTGAGGTATTTTTCTTTATGGTTCAGTTTGTATGGTATTTTTCTTCATGGTTCAGTTAGTATGGTATTTTTCTTCATGGTTCAGTTTGTGAGGCATTTTTCTTCATGTTTTCATCTGTGCCCTGAACTTGTGTACAGAAAGATATGGTTCTGAATTTGAGGCTGCCCTGGTAAAACAGGCAGTTATGTTTGACCATTGTTAGATTTGTACTTTATTTATAAAAGACTCACTTATCTGCTTCATTTGTGTAATTGTTACTGTAGTATGCACCTGACAAGATGCAGGGAAATATGCCAGGCAATAAATTGTGCAAACTATTGTTTGTGTCTTCATTGTTAAAATAAAAATACTGATGTTATAAGTTAGACATGTGGAATTTGTAAGCTGGTTTCTAAAGTTGAAATGCTGCATGTTTGAATCTGGCTTGTCTTGTCTGCAGGTGACCTCTTTGACAGATGAGAGAAACCGCGTGAGTGAAGAGAAGATGGCTTTTGGTGAGCAGGTGATGAACTTGAGTGAGACATTACAACGGCACATTTCAGAGAGTGACAGCATCAAACAGCAGTGGCAGACAGAGAAGGTATATGTAACTGACATGTTCTCTGTACAGTGAACATATGCACATGTATATTGTCAGCAGATTTTGGGGATGAGAAAGAGAATCATAGGATCTGGAAGGACTAGGTCTTAAACAACTGAATACAGGAATTCTTGAGCAAGATTTGAACATCACCACAAGGAAGGTTGGCTACAGCATCCACTGCTGTCTTGTGGCAATACTATGTGCTGAGGCCCCAATCTCTTCCACTGTACCAGTCCCCAACAGATGTCCAAAAACAATAAAACTTTTTTTTTTAAACCGTTAACCTCAGGGAAATGAGCGCTAGTACTGGAGGATCATGAAATTGTTAACAGCAGGTCTTAACCTCTAAGAGATGTAGCAACACTGATACCAGACTGTGAATGTCTCTCAGCTTCTCTTGATCAAGCCTACCAAACTGTGAATGTCTCTCGGCTTCTCTTAATCAAGCCTATCAGACTGTGAATGCCTCTTAGCTTCCCTTGATCAAGCCTGCCAGGCTGTGAATGTCTCTCAGCTTCCCTTGATCAAGCCTACCTGACTGTGAATGTCTCTCAGCTTCCCTTGATCAAGCCTACCTGACTGTGAATGTCTCTCAGCTTCCCTTGATCAAGCCTACCTGACTGTGAATGTCTCTCAGCTTCCCTTGATCAAGCCTACCTGACTGTGAATGTCTCTCAGCTTCCCTTGATCAAGCCTACCAGACTGTGAATGTCTCTCAGCTTCCCTTGATCAAGCCTACCAGACTGTGAATGTATCTCAGCACCCTTAATCAAGCCTACCAGACTGTGAATGTCTCTCAGCTTCCCTTGATCAAGCCTACCTGACTGTGAATGTCTTTCAGCTTCCCTTGATCAAGCCTACCAGACTGTGAATGTCTTTCAGCTTCTCTTGATCAAGCCTACCAGACTGTGAATGTCTCTCCATTTCCCTTCATCAAGCCTACTTGGCTGTGAATGTCTCTCAGCTTTCCTTGATCAAGCCTACCTGGCTGTGAATGTCTCTCAGCATCCCTTGATCAAGCCTACCTGACTGTGAATGTATCTCAGCATCCCTTGATCAAGCCTACCTGGCTGTGAATGTATCTCAGCATCCCTTGATCAAGCCTACCTGGCTGTGAATGTCTCTTAGCTTCCCTTGATCAAGCCTACCTGACTGTGAATGTCTCTCAGCTACCCTTGATCAAGCCTACCTGGCTGTGAATGTCTCTCAGCTTCCCTTGATCAAGCCTTCCTGACTGTGAATGTCTCTCAGCTTCCCTTGATCAAGCCTACCAGACTGTGAATGTCTCTCAGCTTCCCTTGATCAAGCCTACCAGACTGTGAATGTCTCTCAGCTTCCCTTGATCAAGCCTACCAGACTGTGAATGTCTCTTAGCTTCCCTTGATCAAGCCTACCTGACTGTGAATGTCTCTCAGCTTTCCTTGATCAAGCCTACCAGACTGAATGTCTTTCAGCTTCCCTTGATCAAGCCTACATGACTGTGAATGTCTCTCCATTTCCCTTCATCAAGCCTACCTGGCTGTGAATTTCTCTCAGCTTCCCTTGATCAAGCCTACCTGACTGTGAATGTCTCTTAGCTTCCCTTGATCAAGCCTACCAGACTGTGAATGTCTCTCAGCTTCCCTTGATCAAGCATACCAGACTGTGAATGTCTCTCAGCTTCCCTTGATCAAGCCTACCAGACTGTGAATGTCTCTCAGCTTTCCTTGATCAAGCCTACCAGACTGTGAATGTCTCTTAGCTTCCCTTGATCAAGCCTACCTGACTGTGAATGTCTCTCAGCTTTCCTTGATCAAGCCTACCAGACTGTGAATGTCTTTCAGCTTCCCTTGATCAAGCCTACCTGACTGTGAATGTCTCTTAGCTTTCCTTGATCAAGCCTACCAGACTGTGAAATGTCTCTTAGCTTCCCTTGATCAAGCCTACCTGACTGTGAATGTCTCTCAGCTTTCCTTGATCAAGCCTACCAGACTGTGAATGTTTTTCAGCTTCCCTTGATCAAGCCTACCTGACTGTGAATGTCTCTCCATTTCCCTTCATCAAGCCTACTTGGCTGTGAATGTCTCTCAGCTCCTCTTGATCAAGCCTGCCTGGCTGTTTCTCAGTAATCCTGTGGTGGGTTTGGGCTTCAACCTTCACTAGACAACTAGATGGGGCAGCAGATGAGGTAAATTATTCTACTAATGAGTTGAGACAATGATGAGCCCAATGTTCTATTGAAGAGATCGATAATACTAAACCAACAGGTATTAAATTATTCTCACTATCACAGAAGTTATCACTTCTATGCAATTTATGCATACAAAAAGACATAGTGATAAACATGTGGTTGCCCTAGTAATGCAGGCAGCTATTTTTGATTGTAGTTGAATGTGTACTTCAGCTGTTAAGATTCACTTATTTGCTTCATTTTATTTAATTGTTTTTATAGTCTTACTGATGAGATACAAGGAAATATGCCAGGCAATATATTATGCAATCTGTGCAATCTATTGCTTGTATCTTCTTTGTTCACGTTTAAAATAGTGAGCTGTCGCTTTAATATCCACACTATGTTGGAACTTTATCACAACAACTCATTCATCATTGTGAATACAGGGAACACTATCACAAGAACTCATCCATCATTGTGACTACTGGGGATACTATCACAAGAACTCATCGATTGTTGTGACAACTGGGAATAAGATCATAAAAAGGAGGCAGGAGTACTAGGAGTTATATCATTCTGGGGCCAAGTAAATAGACATAGATCTTGTAAAGTCTTCCATGCTTGAGAAGCTGAAGAAGAAAAAGAGGGTTAAGAAAGAGGAGGAATAGATCAGTCAACCGAGAAGTTTTAGTGTCAAAATACATTTGAATGTATCCTCAGTTGTGTAGTAGCTTCCAACATGACGGGTGTAATTGTATGGTTGTTATTCAGATGTTTGTGACTGTTTCCCCAGCTGGTGCTACAAGCAGATGTGGACAGTTTGAAGACAGAGCTCCTGGAAGCCAGAACCCGAGCAGACGAGTACAAGAAGGAAATGATCCAGGTCAAGCATTTGTTAGCAATGGAACAGGAAGAAAAACAACAGGTGCATGTGTGTGTACTTCAGTGCAGTCATGTGTTTGTATGCGTTCGTGCACGTTAAAATTAGAGATGAAGAGATATTTGAGCTGACCTTGAGTAAAGGTAATCCTGCACAGATACTAAACAGAATCTGTCATCCCTGCACAGATAATACACACAACCTCTGATCACTGCACAGATACTACACAAAACCTCTCATCACTGCACAGATACTACACAACCTCTCATCTCTGCACAGATACTACACAAAACCTCTCATCTCTGCACAGATATTACTCACAACCTCTCATCACTGCACAGATACTAAGCAGAACCTCTCATCTCTGCACAGATACTACACAGAACCTCTCATCTCTGCACATATACTACACAAAACCTCTCATCCCTGCACAGATACTACATAAAACCTCTCATCGATGCACAAATACTACTCACAACCTCTCATCACTGCACAGATACTACACAGAACCTCTCATCCATGCACAGATACTACACAAAACCTCTCATCCCTGCACAGATACTACAGAAAACCTCTCATCCATGCACAGATACTACACAAAACCTCTCATCTATGCACATATACTACACAAAACCTCTCATCCATGCACAGATACTACACAAAACCTCTCATCCCTGTACAGATACTACACAAAACCTCTTATCGCTGGACATATACTACACAAAACCTCTCATCCCTGTACAGATACTACACAAAACCTCTTATCGCTGCACAGATACTACACAAAACCTCTCATCTATGCACAGATACTACACAAAACCTCTTATTGCTGCACATATACTACACAAAACCTCTCATCTGTGCACAGATACTACACAGAACCTCACATTCCTGCACAGATACTACACAAAACCTCTCATCCCTGTACAGATACTACACAAAACCTCTCATCTATGCACAGATACTACATAGAATCTCTCATCCCTGCACAGATACTACACAAAACCTCTCATCCCTGTACAGATACTACACAAAACCTCTCATCTATGCACAGATACTACACAGAACCTCACATCCCTGCACAGATAATACACAGAATTTCTCACCCCTGCACAGATACTACACAAAACCTCTCATCCCTGTACAGATACTACACAAAACCTCTCATCTGTGCACAGATACTACACAGAACCTCACATCCCTGCACAGATAATACACAGTATCTCTCATCCCTGCACAGATACTACACAAAACCTTTTATCGCTGCACAGATACTACACAAAACATCTCATCCATGCATAGATACTACACAAAACCTCTCAGGTATAAAAGTACATTTCATTTTCTTTGACCAGATGGATTCGAGTTCAAAAGTGCATATCATAATCAGGTCTAAAAGTATGTTTCATTATCTTTGAATATTTGGATTCGTGTCTAAAAGTACATTTCCTTATCTTTGGCCAGATAGATTCAGATATAAAAGTACATTTAATTATCTTTTACTAGATGAATTCATTCAAGTATAAAAGTATGTTTAAATATTTTGTTTTTCATTCTTTGAACATGGCAATTGGTTGTTTCTGTGTGTAGACATTTGTGACCCTGAAAGCATCAAAAGATGTACTGCTGCAGCAGAAGTTGGACATGGAAACTGAGTTCATACAGCTGCAGGGGGAGGCAGAACATTGGTCAGAACAGCTGGCTAAAATCAAACAAGAGGCACAGGAAGTGCAGACCACTTTACGCCAGGATAACTCTGATCTGTTGGATAAGTTGGTAAGTTCATCTTGAGCCTGTTTGTACTGCTCAGCACTGACATTTCAACAAAATGATAGTCATAGAAATGTATATCAGAAATGATTGGCAGATCATGAGACAGAAGGTTGTAGACAATCATGATGACACAGAATCAGAAAAAAGGAAACTAACAAATTGCTTGTGTGCAGACTGTTGCTATTTAAAGTTAAAATATTTACAAATATAAATATCAGCTGATCTCTGGATCTTCAAAAATATTTTATCTTTTCTTTTTCCTTCTTCCTTAAAAGAACATAACACCTTTTGTAGTGTGGTTAACAGCTCGGCTGTGATATTTTGTGCCTCTCAGTCCAGTGCATCCAATTTTAGCAAACTCCTCATTGGTGGTCTTTTATGACATGCTTGTCAGGAGGGTAGTGGGTCTTTTTATGTCTTTTATCTTGTTTTCTGACTTCATGAACAGGTTTATTTCAACAGTAGCCAGTGGTTAATGTGTTAGTCATTCTTGTGATTATTTATTACATATTTAGGCAGCTCTGATGTTGGCACTGGACATATGATTATACATTTAATGTTTAAGCAGCTGGGAGGTTGGCTCTGGACATATGATTATACATTTAATGTTTAGGCTGCTGGAAGGTTGGCTCTGGACACATAATTATATATTTATTATTTAGGCAGCTCTGATGTTGGCACTGGACATATGATTATACATTTAATGTTTAGGCTGCTGGGAGGTTGGCTCTGGACACATAATTATATATTTATTATTTAGGCAGCTGTGACGTTGGCACTGGACACATAATTATTTATTTATTATTTAGGCAGCTGTGATGCTGGCACTGGACACATAATTATATATTTATTATTTAGGCAGCTGTGACGTTGGCACTGGACACACTACAGAAGGAAAAAGATGAGCTAGAGGCTGAGTTTGACACACAGTCCACACTTCTCAGTGGGAACTTGACCACAGTCAGAACAGATTTGACCATTACTGAAGGTAATCTGGGCGAGCTGACCAGAATTAACGAGCAACTGCGAGGAGAAAAGCTGGGTATGTCATGTGACTTGAATGTAATTTATATGTTGGGTTTTCTGAAAGAACAGTTTGGTGTGTACTTGTGAGTATTAGGCAAACTAATGGAGCAGGACAGGAAGGAAGACATAGTGGCAAAGGAAGAGAGACAGAAAAAAAAAGACAGTCAAAATCTCAGAGGTATATAAAGGTAAAGAAGGACAATCAGATGTATATAGACAAATGTAGAGGGACAGATGGACAAGGGCATAAAGAAAATGACAGAAAGGGAGAGACAGACACAAAAGTAAAGAGATACAGAAGCAGGCAGAGAAAAGGCAATGAGAAAAATATAGAGAAATGCAGTGTCAAAACTATCATATGTGTGACGACTACTAATGAATGTTACATCCCCCCCCCCCCCCCCCCACCCCCACTCCGACACTTCGCTGAAGTGCAAGGTGGAAAACAAAGATGAAGAAGAAGACTAGTTCAAGTCAGAGAATGATGTTAACTAGTGACTCAATAAGGGTAATGTTGAGAGGATCGACTTCATTGCATCAGGTTTTATCCCATCTGTGGTTCAGTCTCTCTCATCAGAATGGCTGGCCACCTGCCAAAACTACTGCAAAAAGCATGAAAACCAGCGATGATTCCCAGCATGGAACTATGGGTGACATACAAGGTCAAGACAGAAGGACAGTGGGTAACTATGGGTGACATACAAGGTCAAGACAAAAGGACAGTGGGGAACTATGGGTGACATACAAGGTCAAAACAGAAAGACAGTGGGGAACTATGGGGGACATACAAGGTCAAGACAGAAAGACAGTGGGGAACTATGGGTGACATACAAGGTCAAGACAGAAGGACAGTGGGGAACTATGGGGACATACAAGGTCAAGACAGAAGGACAGTGGGGAACTATGGGTGACATACAAGGCCAAAACAGAAAGACAGTGGGGAACTATGGGTGACATACAAGGTCAAGACAGAAAGACAGTGGGGAACTATGGGTGACATATAAGGTCAAGACAGAAGGACAGTGGGGAACTATGGGTGACATACAAGGTCAAGACAGAAAGACAGTTGGGGAACTATAGGTAAACACACAAGGTTGAGGCAGAAGGACAGTGGGAACTATAGGTGATATAAAAGGTCAAGACAGAAGGATGGTGGGGAACTATGGGTAGACATACAAAAAAGGTGTGTCAACGTCTGCAGCAGAGACCAATGGGAGCAAAGACCTTGCCTAAGACATCAGTCAAAGATTTAGCAGCATCATGTATGTGTACTAGTAGTCAAGGTGCCATAGGGGTTAGTCTGCTTAATTTCTAACATTGTGATCCTGGGTTCCAGTCTTCTTTTAAGATAGCATTTGTTTGAGAACATATGTCTGCTCAACCTCAAAGAGTGGTGACTAGAAAATGTTGGTTGAGATAAAGTTGCTGCCTTGTTCATTCATCATTTACTGATAGCTGATACACAACTGAATTATTCACTTACTCATTGACTCACAGACTAACTGAATTACTTCCTGACTTGGTCAATCACTGCCTTATTGCCTTTTTTCACTGTCTGATTTGCTGACTCACTGTTGATTCACTAAATGACTTCCTGCCTTATTCACTGTCTGACTGGCTGACACACTGTGGAGTCACTGACTGACTGTTGAGTCACTGACCGACTGGCTGATTCACTGTTGAGTCACTGACTGGCTGACTCACTGTTGAGTCACTGACAGGTTGTTGAATCACTGACTAACTCAGTGTGTTTGTAACATTATATAGACTTTTCCTTTTTCAGAGCTGGAAGTCAAGCTAGAGAGATGCAATGATGAAAGGCGACTTTTGGTAGAAAGGTGAGAATCATAGCGTACATCCAAGTGCTGTAAAGATTGTCAAGTATAGCATAAATAAAGTCAAGTTTTCAGTTGGAGTATAAGACTTTAAAGTCAAGTATAGGACCATTAACGTCAATTATAGGACCATTAAAGTCAAGTATAAGACCAGTAAAGTCAAGTATAGGACCATTAAAGTCAAGTTTAGGACCATTAAAGTCAAGTATAGAACCAGTAAAGTCAAGTATATGACCAGTAAAGTCAAGTATAGGACCAGTAAAGTCAAGTATAGGACCAGTGAGGTCAAGTATAGGACCCGTAAAGTCAAGTATAAGACCAGTAAAGTCAAGTATAAGACCAGTAAAGTCAAGTATATGACCAGTAAAGTCAAGTATAGGACCAGTAAAGTCAAGTATAGGACTAGTAAAGTCAAGTATAAGACCAGTAAAGTCAAGTATAAGACCAGTAAAGTCAAGTATAGGACCAGTAAAGTCAAGTATAGGACCAATAAAGTCAAGTATAAGACCAGTAAAGTCAGGTATAGGACCAATAAAGTCAAGTATAGGACCAGTAAAGTCAAGTATAGGACCAGTAAAGTTAGTATAGGACCAGTGAAGTCAAGTATAGGACCATTAAAGTCAAGTATAGGACCAGTAAAGTCAAGTATAAGACCAGTAAAGTCAAGTATTTTTTTTTCTTCTTCTTCTCTTCTACTGTGTACTTCAGCAAAGTGTCAGGGGAAGATTTAACATTTGTTAATGAGCTCTGTCAAGAGCACTATCAGGACTGATGTTCATTTCTGTAAGGCTGTTCTTAATGCCATCACTCCATCTTTTCCTAGGTCTTCCGCTCGCTTTATACCCGTTGAAACTTTTCAGTGTGGCTCGCTGTGGTAGATAGCACCAGGGCATTCTTTTTAGGTGTCCAAACCACTTCATTTGTTGTTCTTTGATAACCTGTAAGACTGGCTTTATTCCTAGCATTCGTCTGATTTCTTGATTTTGTATTCTGTCTTTCCTTGAAACTCCTGCAGCTCTTATGAGGCATTTCATCTCTGTTGTCACAATTTTACTTTCATTAGAAGATGCAAGTGTCCACATTTGGCACTGATAGCATTGTGTTGGCCAACAAATAGTTCTGATAAGATTCACTTTAGTACTCTGGTGTATCTGCTTGTGTGTCAACAGGGAAGAAGGTTGCCCCCATTACTTGATTAGCTTCGGCACTTCTCAAGCTAGTTTCTCTATTGGGTGTGAAAATTCAAGTATAAGACAAGTAAAGTTAAGTAAATAAAGTCAAGTATAGGACCAATAAAGTCAAATATAAGACCTTTAAAGTCAGGTTTTGGACCAGTAAAGTCAACTATAGTAAAGTCAAGAATAGCACCAGTAAATTCAAGTATAGGACCAGTAAAGTCAAATATAAGACCATTAAAGTCAAGTTTAGGACCAGTGAAGTCAACTATAGTAAAGTCAAGAATAGCACCAGTAAATTAAAGTATAGGACCAATAAAGTCAAATAAAAGACCATTAAAGTCAAGTTTAGGACCAGTAAAGTCAACTATAGTAAAGTCAAGAATAGCACCAATAAAGTCAAGTATAAGACCAGTAAAGTCAGGTATGAAACCATTAAAGTCAAGTAGAGGACCAGTAAAGACAATTCTAGAGCCCTTTTTCATTCTATTATACAGAGTGGGTATATGGTTCTAGCCTTATCTTTAGACCAGTAAGTACTTGATTGTGATATGTCATTATTGAATCAGTCATCAGTATTTGCTGTTACCAGTCACCACTTGATTATGATATGTCATTATTGCATCAGTCATCAGTAGTTGCTGTTACCAGTCAACACTTAATTATGATATGTCATTATTGCATCAGTCATCAGTAGTTGCTGTTACCAGTCAACACTTGATTATGATATGTCATTATTGCATCAGTCATCAGTAGTTGCTGTTACCAGTCAACACTTGATTATGATATGTCATTATTGAATCAGTCATCAGTAGTTGCTGTTGCCAGTCAACACTTGATTATGATATGTTATTATTGAATCAGTCATCAGTAGTTGCTGTTACCAGTCACCACTTGATTATGATATGTCATTATTGCATCAGTCATCTGTAGTTGCTGTTACCAGTCAACACTTAATTATGATATGTCATTATTGAATCAGTCATCTGTAGTTGCTGTTACCAGTCAACACTTGATTATGATATGTCATTATTGCATCAGTCATCAGTAGTTGCTGTTACCATTTTTGCACTGGGTTGACCTCACAGTAAAGGTCCTCACCTCAAACTGGGATTTAAAAATATCACCTCTAGGCTGACAGGCAGGTGCCACATCTGAGCCACCTGATAGCATAAAATGGTGCTAACAGGTGCTCAGACTTTGGCATCATTTGTTACTATACCCTGTGTGAATTCCAAAACCCCATTTAGGGAAGGTTGGGGGGGGGGGGGTTGAATAAATCCACAGCTTCCTCCCTCACAAGCTTGTCACAACAACCGACTAAACAGATATGTTTCCTTCAAAGTCAGATTGGTCTTCTGGGAAGGGGAGGAGCCAACAGTCTGCTGTATATGGATGGATAAGCCATCTGTAAAATGGACCTTCTTCGTCTTCTCTTCCGCCATTTACTTTAGCGAGCTGTTGGGGGGAGATGTAAGGATCATGTGTGCACTTTAGCGAGCTGTTGGGGGGAGATGTAAGGATCATGTGTGCACTTTAGCGAGCTGTTGGGGGGAGATGTAAGGATCATGTGTGCACTTTAGCGAGCTGTTGGGGGGAGATGTAAGGATCATGTGTGCACTTTTCCCAGTTGCATTGTAAAATGGATATGCATGCAAAAATGAACTTCTGCAGCTAGACTGAAGTCCAGAAGTGGATGAACAACCAGAACTTTCTGCCAGAGCTTACAGCCGATGAACACTAAGAAGAAGAAGATTTGTGACTGTGATTCCCTAGCCTCATTAAGGTCTTTAATTGTCTGCTATCATTCCTTGTGATTTCTTCATCACCTGCTGCTTTTATAAGCTTCTCTTTTCTGCTAACATGGCAGTTTTTGATTCATTCTAACTCATGACAAAATGGAATTTCTATACCGCCCTGTGTAGCTATGGGGTTGTCCCAGTGAATCATATGGGCGTTGTACCTTTTCCAGGGGATTAAAATGAGTTAGCTCGTCCATCTCCTTTTCTACCAGCCTGCATTTCCTGGACTCTTATCTCTACCAGCCTGCATTTCCGGGACTCTATCTCTACCAGCCTGCATTTCCGGGACTCTATCTCTACCAGCCTGCATTGATTGACTGGACTATCTCTACCAGCCTGCATTTACTGGACTCTATCTCTACCAGCCTGCATTTAATGGACTCTATCTCTACCACTGCATTTACTGGATTCTATCTCTACCAACCTGCATTTACTGGATTCTATCTCTACCAACCTGCATTTACTGGATAGTATCTCTACCAGCCTGCATTTACTTGACTGTCTCTACCAGCCCATATTTACTTGACTTTCTCTACCAGCCCATATTTACTTGACTCTGTCGCTACCAGCCCATATTTACTTGACTGTCTCCAACAGCCCATATTTACTTGACTTCTTCTCTGCCAGCCCATATTTACTAGACTCTTTCTTTGCCAGCCTATATTTACTAGACTCTTTCTTTGCCAGCCCATATTTACTAGACTCTTTCTTTGCCTGCCCATATTTACTTGACTCTTTCTACCAGCCCATATTTACTTGACTGTCTCCACCAGCCAATATTTACTTGACTGTCTCTTCCAGCCTATGTTTACTTGACTGTCTCTAGAAGCCCATATTTACTTGACTATTTCTACCTGAATGTTGAATTAAAAATCAACATCACAGCATTTGGGACACTCCTAAGGTGCTCCATCCCCATCTTCAGCAGCAGGCCAAGAATTCCAGTTCCAGTGGCACCAGTAGCCATCTCATTGTATATTTGTCTAACCCTTCCCCAGAGTGTTGAGTGATGGCCACATCTCCTGGTAACTCCTCGCAGCGCCATTCTCCTCAGATCAAAATGATCTATCTGCGCATCTACACTGTTCACTCGTTCCCAAAGGACCCTCAAAATATTCAGCTTGTCATGCATCAATTCACCACCAAGTGGTGCAGAACCGTCAGTCTTCTGCCTGGTCATTTCCCAACACATCGGCATAACCTGGAGAAAATATCCAAAGGATGTTAAATATCCGGGACCTCTGAAGTGATGCTTGCCACTCTGCACGAAGCATGCCTGTCTTCACTTTTCTCAACATGCTCTGTGAGTCGGTTACAATTACCGCATGTGTGCAGCTGATTCTCAAGTCAGCGGAAGGCAGCAGAGACTGCTTTGCTACACTGTGCTACGTCCATTCGACTTTTCTATGAACTCCCATGCACTTCATCTGTCCCTCAGCACAGAGCCAACTGTATAGATAATCACATCACCTGGGTGGGAATTGTCATGATTCATTTGTTGAACTTCTGATTCTGCAGCACCAACTGGCTAGTCTCTGCACTCACGACCTAAAGTGATTAGAACCCTACATGAGTCTGAAACTTGTTTGGACACCTTGACCCACTCCTCTCATCAAGCCTGCACACATGTTGAATTGTGTCTTCAGCTTGCGTCATCCAAGACTTTCCTCTTTTCAGTCTGTGACCCTTAGCTCTACCCAGGGCTTCATTCAGGAGGTGCCTCTTGTCTGTTGCTACTCTGAGATATAATTTTGCCTGCAGAACTTTGAGCCTATCTGCAGTAGTAGGCAGTGCAAGTATATATCACATATATACTACAGGGGTATCTCTTGTACATCCCAGAATTACCCGCATGGCTTCACTCTTCATGCGTTTGAGTTTTATCAGCTGACTTATTGATGTGGTAAGCATTATAAGTCCATAATCTATCACCGACAGGATCACATACTGGAACGTTGTGAACAGCATTCTTTGTTCCATGTCCATTGTTGCCATAATCTTGAGAGCATTGAGTCCTTTTTGGCATTTTACTGCAACTTCCTCCATGTGATCCCTATAGGACAGGCTTCTATCGAAAGTGATACCCAGGTACCTCAGTTTGCTTTCTCTTTTGATGTTACTGTTAATAATTGTGAGGCTTGGAACATTAGTTCTTAAAATTCTGTTGTCCAGAGAGCACCACAAAACAGCCGCCTTTTCTAGTTTAATGACAGCACCCATTTCTGCACAACAGTCAGTCACTTTGTCTACAGTTGCCTGCAGCTCTTGGGCTGTCACTTCCTTGCCTATAAGCAAGAACATCATCAGCAAATGTCAATATTCTTTCAACACCTGGTGCTTCTACCTTTCTACCTGGAGATGTTCTTATTTAAGACAAAGTCCATGTCTGAGTCCAAGTTGTGAATGTACAGTGAGACACTAGGAGTGAAACTAAAAATTGAAATAGAATGAATTAAGATAACAGGGAGAGGGGGGTTGTGTAGTATAGAACAAGTGTAGCCATGCTCAGCACCCTGTAAAGACAAGACAAGAAACTAAAAACCTGAGAAAACTGTAATTTCCTTGTGCTTGTTCCTGTAGTAACTTGATTTACATGACACAGTGGTCACTCTGTGAGTTAGACTATGTCAGCACTTGTCATTGAAATCAGCACTTGTCATTGATAACAGCACTTGTCATTGATAACAGCACTTGTCATGCACACCAGCAGATGTCAGACACACCAGCAGATGTCAGACACACCAGCAGATGTCATACACACCAGCAGATGTCAGACACACCAGCAGATGACAGACACACCAGCAGATGTCAGACACACCAGCAGATGTCATACACACCAGCAGATGTCAGACACACCAGCAGATGACAGACACACCAGCAGATGACAGACACACCAGCAGATGTCAGACACACCAGCAGATGACAGACACACCAGCAGATGTCAGACACACCAGCAGATGTCAGACACACCAGCAGATGTCAGACACACCAGCAGATGTCAGTCACACCAGCAGATGACAGACACACCAGCAGATGTCAGACACACCAGCAGATGTCAGTCACACTAACATGTGTCAGAATGTCAGAAGATCATCATTGAAACTATTTCACTTGTAATTGTACCTCTATGACTGAAACCATCAGAATCTGTTTATTTTCTCAGATGTGTAGCAAGTGAAAGAGAATGTGAGAGACTGCAAGAGAATGTTGCAGAGCAGAAATATCAGCTAGAGGATATTCAAGGAGCTCTTCATGAACTTGGCAGAGAGAACCTGACATTACAGGTTAGTTGTCATGATCACCCTGTCATGTTTAACCTGTCATGATTACCCTGTCACGATTACCCTGTCATGATCACCCTGTCATGATTACCCTGTCATGATTACCCTGTCTTGATTACCCTGTCTTGATTACCCTGTCATGATACCCTGTCATGATCAGCTTTGTAGTTATTACCGTTGTCATTATCACTCTTGTCATTATCACCCTTGACATTATCACTCTTGTCATGATCACTGTTGACAGGATGACCCTTGACATGACCGCCTTGATGTGATCACCCTTGATGTGATCACCCTTGATGTGATCACCCTTGATGTAAACAACTGTGATGTAATCACCCTTGACAGGATGACTCTTGATGTGATCAACCTTAACATGAGCACCCTTGATGTGATCACCCTTGACAGAATGACTTTTGACGTGATCACCCTTGATGTGATCAAACTTGACTTGATCAACCTTGACGTGATCAGCCTTGACACAATTACCCTTGAGTTAATCAATCTTGATGTTATTAGCCTTGACTTTATCAACCTTGATGTGATTGCTCTTGACTTGATCAACCTTGACATGATCACCCTTGATGTAATCACCCTTGACATGATCAACCTTGACATGATCACCCTTGATGTAATCACCCTTGACATGATCAACCTTGACATGATCACCCTTGATGTAATCACCCTTGACATGATCAACCTTGACATGATCACCCTTGATGTAATCACCCTTGACATGATCAACATTGACATGATCACCCTTGATGTAATCACCCTTGAAAGGATGATCCTAGATGTGATCAACCTAGACATGATCAACCTTGACATGATCACCGTTCACATGATTACCCTTGACGTGATCAACCTTGACGTGATCAACCTTCTGTAACAGGGACTTGTCACCTTAACTCATTCTATCAACCTTCACAACTCTTTTCATACTAACCCCTATCATACTCATCCCTATCATACTTACCCCTATCATACTTACCCCTATCATACTTACCCCTATCATACTTATCCCTATCATACTTACCCATATCATACTAACCCCTATACTCACCCTTATCAAACTGACCCCTATCATACTAACCCCTATCACACTAACCCTATCATACTAACCCCTATCAAACTGACCCCTATCATACTAACCCCTATCACACTAACCCCTATCATACTAACCCCTATCATACTAACCCCTAACAAACTCACCCCTATCATACTAACCCATTTCATACTAACCCCTAACAAACTCACCCCTATCACACTTACCCCTATCATACTCACCCCTATCAAACTCTTCATTAACATACTAACCTTGGTGATGATTACAAAAATAGTTTATAGATCTGTGGTCTATCTAGGAGATTATGATGATGATTGTAGAGCTCAGTTCAGACCTGTGGGTCAAAAGTTCAGTCTGTACTTCCTGCATTTGTTCTTGGCAGATTACAACAACAACAGTTCAAGGTCGTAAATGGACTGATGACAGTGATGTCACCGAATGCATGTCTTGTGGCAAAGTATTCTCTGTCATCATCAGGAAGGTAGGCATTTTTAATTATTTTTTTTTAAATTGATCTTTCCTTTCCTTACATCCATTAGGTTCACTAACTTGATTGTTTCCTGTAAGGAGATTTATGTAACACTAAAATTTGCATAATTATTATAGCTGATTATTCTCTGTTATGTAAACAAAAGGATCACATGCTTAATCTTCGGCTTCCATGGTGTACATTGTGCATGCTGTTGTTGTTTAAGTTGCATGAATTATCAAGTATAGACCTGTGTTGTTTGTCCACTGTTTCTGTCCAGTGGGGAACACTGTTGCCATTAAGTAGAACAACTGGGCATTGCAGTCATCATCATCTTTGTCATGATCACCTTTGTCTTGATCACTTTTGTCATAATCACCTTTGTCATGATAATTATTGTCATGATCACCCTTGTCATGATCACCTTTGTCATAATCACCTTTATCATAATCACCTTTGTCTTGATCACCTTTGTCTTGATCACCTTTGTCTTGACTACCTTTGTCTTGATCACCCTTGTCATGATCATCTTTGTCATAATCACCTTTGTCTTCATCACATTTGTCATAATTGCCTTTGTCTTGATCACCTTTGTTATCATCAGGTCTTGTTGGAGAGCCACTTAGTCCCTTGCCAACTGTACCACCTCATGAGCTGTCATGCCCAGGGTGACCTTGACATCTCACATCCACCATCATGCTGGTGGACCCCTGCCCCCTCTTCCAGTATCCATACCTCCATTACTGTTCATTGGTTAACTTTATTTATTGAAGTTGATTGATTCTATTGATTATTAATTGAATTTGATTGTTTATATTTATTAACTCATAGCAGCTGAGTATTTATTCTTATTATTTTATTCATTGAAGTTGATTATTTATTTGTTGATCATATTTATTGTAATTGATGTTGATTGTTTCTATTTTATTATTATTTTTTGATGTTATTTTTTTTTCAAGTTGATTGTTTTTTCATGAATGTTAATGAATGCAACCTCTGATATGATCCCCTCTGCAACAACTGATATAAATGTCTATGTCTGGCTTACAGCATCACTGTCGACACTGTGGCAACATCTTCTGCAATGAATGCTCAAGTAAGATAACCCAGACTCCCATGAAGAGAAAAGCATCAAGAGTGTGTGACCCTTGTTATAGAGAGCTCTCTGCCCAGAAACTTTGAGCAGCTGCCTTCCTATGGCATATTACAGGGGGGTTGATTTATATTTCTGTATGTTAAAGATGTTTGTCTGTTGTCTGTGTAGCCATGTTTGTCCACTAGGTCTGTCTGTTCTCTGTGTGGCCATGTTTGTACCCTAGGTCTGTATGTTATCTGTGAGGCCATGTCGTCCCCTGGATATGTCTGTTGTCTGTGTGGCCATGTTTGTCCCCTAAGTGAGTCTGTTGTCTGTCCACTAGGTCTGTCTGTTCTCTGTGTGACCATATTTGTCCCCTAGATCTGTCTGTTGTCTTCGTAGCCATGTTTGTCCCCTAAATGAGTCTGTTGTCTGTGTGACTATGTTTGTATACTAGGTCTGTCTGTTGTCTGTGTGGCCATGTATGTCCCCTAAATGAGTCTGTTGTCTGTGTGACTATGTTTGTATACTAGGTATGTCTGTTGTCTGTGTGGCCATGTTTGTCCCCTGGATATGTCTGTTGTCTGTGTGGCCATGTTTGTCCCCTAAGTGAGTCTGTTGTCTGTGTGACTATGTTTGTCCACTAGGTCTGTCTGTTCTCTGTGTGGCCATATTTGTCCCCTAGATCTGTCTGTTGTCTTTGTAGCCATGTTTGTCCCCTAAATGAGTCTGTTGTCTGTGTGACTATGTTTGTATACTAGGTCTGTCTGTTGTCTGTGTGGTCATGTTTGTCTCCTAAATGAGTCTGTTGTCTGTGTGACTATGTTTGTATACTAGGTCTGTCTGTTTTCTGTGTGGCCATGTTTGCCCCCTAGGTGAGTCTGTTGCCTGTGTGGCCATGTTTGTTCCCTAGATCTGTCTGTTGTCTTCGTAGCCATGTTTGTCCCCTAAATGAGTCTGTTGTCTGTGTGACTATCTTCTTCTTCTTCTTCACGTTCACCAGCTGTACACTCTGGCGGAAAGTTCTGGTTGTTCGTCCACTACTGAACTGCAGTCCTGCTCCAGAACCTGAGTGTTGCGTGTGCATCAGTTTTACAGATCTCATTCTCTCGAATACAGACTGTTGGTTCCTTGCCTCTCCGGCAGATGCACTCCGACTTCAAAGGAAGCTCCCCAATTTGTCGACTCTTACGACATGCTTTTGGGGAGGCAGTGGGTCTATTCTTGTTTTCCCCTACAATGGGGCCCCGGAACCCACACGGGGGTGTGTGACTATGTTTGTATACTAGGTCTGTCTGTTGTCTGTGTGGCCATGTTTGTCACCTAGATCTGTCTGTTGTCTGTGTGGCCATGTTTGTCCCGTAGGTGAATCTATTGTCTGTGACCATGTTTGTCCCCTAGGTCTGTTTGTTGTCTGTGTGACCATGTTTTCCTCTAGGTCTGTCTGTTGTTTGTGTGGCTATGTTTGTCCCTTAGGTGAGTCTGTTGTCTGTGTGGCTATGTTTGTCCCTTAGGTGAGTCTGTTGTTTGTGTGGCTATGTTTGTCCCTTAGGTGAGTCTGTTGTTTGTGTGGCTATGTTTGTCCCTTAGGTGAGTCTGTTGTTTGTGTGGCTATGTTTGTCCCTTAGGTGAGTCTGTTGTCTGTGTGGCTATGTTTGTCCCTTAGGTGAGTCTGTTGTCTGTGTGGCTATGTTTGTCCCTTAGGTGAGTCTGTTGTCTGTGTGGCTATGTTTGTCCCTTAGGTGAGTCTGTTGTCTGTGTGGCCATGTTTGTCACCTAGATCTGTCTGTTGTCTGTGTGGCCATGTTTGTCCCGTAGGTGAATCTATTGTCTGTGACCATGTTTGTCCCCCTAGGTCTGTTTGTCGTCTGTGTGACCATGTTTTCCTCTAGGTCTGTCTGTCGTATGTGTGTCTATGTTTGTACCGTAGGTGAGTCTATTGTCTGTGTGACCACTTTTATCTTCTATATTTTCATTATGTGGATCACCACACAGAGTCATAATCATGCCCCAGTTCTTGGCCTCATTGGGCAAATTTAAACATTTGCATTGGTTGCTAATGGCCAGGTATGTTGCTACTGCAGTGCCATTGAAAATGCCTTTTAGCTGTTGACATTGTAAGCTACATTCTGTGGTGTTAAATGTTTGTTTTTTTGTTTGGTTAGTTGTTTACCTCTTTAGCTACATTCCATGGTGTTATATGTATTTGTTATGTTCACTGTTTACCTTTTTAGCGACAATATGTGATGTTATATGTTTTTTTTTTGTTTGCTGTTCACCATTTTAGCTAAATTTTGTCGTGGGTGTTATATGATTTTGTTGTGTTAGTTTGTCACCTTTTTAGCTACATTCTGTTATGTTATATGTTTGTTTAGTTAGCTGTTCACTTTTTATAGCTACATTCTGTGTTGCATAAATTTATCATGTTAGCAGCAGCAGGACTGAATATTTTATTAATAAAAAGTGTTTCAAACAGAATGCAATTGTCATGCTTTAAAATTTAACATTTGTTTCTAAATGAGACTGAAAGTTACGGTTGTTTTGTTATGAAACAAGCACATTTAAGATGTTATGCTGTTGTTATCTTGCATGATGTTTGTAATTTCACCTGTTGTCTTGTGTGATGTCTGAAGTTTCACCTGTTGTCTTGTGTGATGTAAAAGTATCATGTTTCACCTGTTGCAATACCGCTGTTTGCAAGTTTTCTCTGATTTCCTGTTTACCTGATGCCATGTTCCATATACAACTATTTATGAACTCTGCCATGTCCAGTCTATACACTGTACTCCAGTAGTGGACAGTAAATCTTCATTGTTGTTGGTACTCTTCCATTTTAGCAGACAACAGTTTTCATATTGTGCTATAGGCGTGCTAGCCACAGTCCATGGCGATGGAGAATGACCAGCGGCCATCACCGAAACATACATCCAGATGTCCCTGAAATCAGGACAGGGACTTAATAACAAAACAGTTTGGTTTGTTTTGTGTCAGCAATTATTTTATTGTACTAAGTTGTGTACATAAGTATTTACAAATGTTGAACACCTGACATGCTGACATGTCATGTATTGATTGACAGCAGATGACATGTCAGCATGTCATGTGTTCAACATGCTGACATGTCATCTGCTGACATTAATATATGACATGTCATCTGCCGTCAATGAACACATGACATGCTGACATGTCATCTGCTGTCAATCAATACATGACATGTCATCTGCTGTCAATAAACACATGACATGCTGACATGTCATCTGCTGTCAATCAACACATAACATGTCATCTGCTGTCAATGAACACATGACATACTGACATGTCATCTGCTGTCACTGAACACAATACTGAACACACATTTACTTCCCTGGTACTCCCCATGTGAAGTCATCATGAAGTCTACCACCCTTAGAAACAATGATGAAAACAACCACAAGTACCTACATTTTTGTGTCCTGTCTTAGGTCACGTCTTCCCATATCATCTTGCTTATTCTTAAAATACTGTCTTTGGCGCACTACATGTCCCCTGCTACACATATAAATGCCCTTTTTACTGATGAAATATTGTCTGTCTGTCCTGTACCATTTCTTTCTAATCAAGCATGTCGTAGGGTGTTAAGTTTCCTGCACCTGTTCCTTGGCAGTAGGGACATTACTCTGTAACACAACAAGTATAAGAGTGGAGTGAGTCCAGCAAGTATAAGAGTGGAGTGAGTCCAGCAAGTATAAGAGTGGAGTGAGTCCAGCAAGTATAAGAGTGGAGTGAGTTCAGCAAGTGTAAGAGTGGAGTGAGTTCAGCAAGTATAAGAGTGGAGTGAGTCCAGCAAGTATAAGAGTGGAGTGAGTTCAGCAAGTGTAAGAGTGGAGTGAGTTCAGCAAGTATAAGAGTGGAGTGAGTTCAGCAAGTATAAGAGTGGAGTGAGTCCAGCAAGTATAAGAGTGGAGTGAGTTCAGCAAGTATAAGAGTGGAGTGAGTTCAGCAAGTATAAGAGTGGAGTGAGTTCAGCAAGTATAAGAGTGGAGTGAGTTCAGCAAGTATAAGAGTGGAGTGAGTCCAGCAAGTATAAGAGTGGAGTGAGTCCAGCAAGTATGAGTGGAGTGAGTCCAGCAAGTATAAGAGTGGAGTGAGTCCAGCAAGTATAAAAGTGGAGTGAGTCCAGCAAGTGTTAGAGTGGAGTGAGTCCAGCAAGTGTAAGAGTGGAGTGAGTCCAGCAAGTGTAAGAGTGGAGTGAGTCCAGCAAGTGTAAGGGTGGAGTGAGTCCAGCAAGTGTAAGAATGGAGTGAGTCCAGCAAGTATAAGAGTGGAGTGAGTCCAGCAAGTATAAGAGTGGAGTGAGTTCAGCAAGTGTAAGAGTGGAGTGAGTCCAGCAAGTGTAAGAGTGGAGTAGGAAGCTCCCTCTGGAGTCACTACTGAGTCTGCCTGACCTGGTCATAAACAGTCTGTCACTCACGATTCTCTCTGTTTAAACTTCCTGGCAAGTGACCAGACAATGGAATGGTTATTGTCATTTCTATCACACTTGTCAGGTTTTTATTTGAAGCTGCCTTGGCTCCGTACATGGTTAAAGTATGTATCCATCATTGATTCCTGTTGAATTGTTCCCTAAAAAGTAGCTTCTGGAATGGCTTGTTGGTAAACCTTCAGGTTACACTCAGGGATGGGGGTACATATTACCCTACATTAAACATCACCATTGTAATAATATACATTCCTTACGTCCTTGTTAGGACGTTATTTTTTGTTATTTGAAGCCCCACTCTGGCTTTTGCCAGGGGCCGCAATATAGGCAGGTCATCATTATGGCCAAATGTCTGAACGCGGTTTCTGGGACCTCTCCACGGTGATCCTCATCCGCATGGTGGCACTTTGTGTCATCGGGTGTTTATCGCTTGTGTGATGTCCTGGTGGGGTAAAAAGCCACGCCACGCCACATCACCATTGTTTACGATTGTCGTTGTAGGCCTTCATCTTTTGAAATACACAAAATGGGTACAAGGAAATGAGTAAGTGAGTAGGCCTGAAGGTGCTAATGTAAAGTGAAATTGGTGAGGAGCACTGTGGAGGAAGCCCATAAAGCTGTCATGTCATTGTTGGTAGTTGTCAGCTG